TATATTATATTCAATTTCTTTAAATTTTTTTGTTCTATTATTTAATATAAGCTTTTAGCCAAAAATTTAATTTATTATGTTCATTATATCTAATTATTTGAGTTCAAAGAGGCAAAAAAATCAAACTATGATGATTTTTTTTTGAGAAAATTACTAAAATAAAATCAAAACAAAGTTGAGTTGTTTCTTAAATTTCTATGTATGTAATTTATTTAGACTTTTTAAATTTAAATGTTGTAGAGTTTTAAATTTTTAAATGTAACTTCTAAATTTACTTTTGCATCTTACTCATCTAACTTTTCTCAACTATTACACCTAAATTAACTCAAATCATATACCTAACTCAAAACTCACCTAACTTTACTCAACTACCACACATTTTCAATATCTTAACTCTACTATAAATTTATGGCACAAAATAATAATCTCTCACTACACAAATACAAATCACACAAATCTTTTTCACATTTCAAAGAAATGGACTCTCGTGCTAGCTTTATCCTTCTAGCCCATTGGAATGACGAGTTCAAAATTGTAGACAATGAGGTGGAGTACTCATTGCATGCAAACAAAGCCTCCGTCTTTGATCTTGAAGTCTCATTTGAACATGTCCTCAATGAATTCCTCACTGCTGTTGGAGAAGAAGGTTTTAATTCCATCAAGAAAATTTGGGAGAAATATTCCAAATACAAGGATGGTGTATATGCTGCATCACGCCCTTTCCCAATTTCTGAAGAGCGGACTTGGAGGTGCTTTATTCAAAAGGCCACCAATCAATATGATGAGCTTGGAGGTACTTATGTATCTCTTTTGGGCAATAACGCGTGTGTGTTACACGCTTTTTTTATATTATTCTGTTCTAAAACAAAAAGTAATATTTTAAGATTTATATTTTATTTATCTATTTTTCATTAATAAATTGTCTATTATTATAACAATAATAAATGAAATGAAAAAAGACACTACAAAAAATTGACTTTTTGTAACAAGGTAAATGTGACAGACTCTAGAATTTGCCACAAATACTCCGTTAAAAAAAGTATTTGTGGCAAAATTTGATGTAAGAAATGTATTTCTGGCCAAATTAGATCCCACAAAAAGTCAATTTTTTGTAGTGATAATTTTAATCTACACTAATTAAAAAATACATAATATAAAAAAATTAAAATTTTTTTAAAAAATGGTAAGTTTTTGTTAATTAATAGAGTCAAATTAAAGGGTAGATGGTGTTGCTTTTCAACATGTCAGTCCGGCCCCAACTCCCAATATGTCAGTACTCAGTAGGAGTTTCACTAATTGGGAATGTATTTTCAAATTTTACCTTGATTGGGAAATCCCCCTATCAAATAAGGCCTCACACTCTCTTTATGTCAGTAGAGAGTTTCATCAATTAGGAATGAAATGTGAAATTATGCACTGATTGGGAAATGCCCCTGAGTTAGATCTGGTTTTAACTATCTCGTCATCGATTTAGTAATGAATAATTAATATTCTCATTGTGTTACTATGTACTATTACGGAGTATATTATATATACTCTTGGTTCCACTGTGTGTCTCGTTTTATCTTTTTATACGATTGATTATTATTTTTATCTCATACTCTCCCGTCCCAATTTAAATTACTTTTTTCAATTTACGATGTTTGTCTAAATTTATGGTGGGACGGAGTGATTATCATTTAACATTTTTGACATGCATTATGTTGAAATTATGTTGAAGTACCTTGAAGGATTCAATAGATAAGATTTCTTATCGCTATGTTTGGTTCAAAGAATTCAAATGGAAAAGAAAAGATAATGATCTTTTCTCATTTTCCTCACTAAAATATGAGGAGTTCTATTTTTTTCTCTCATAGTAAATTTTATTTTCTCATTTTCTTTTCCTTCTATTTTTATTTTCTTTTCCTCTTTATCCAAATAAGAAAAAAAATTTCGTCTCATTTTCTTTTCTTTTCTCTTTCAAAATCTTTGAACCAAACATAGTGTAAAAGAACACAAAAGATAATATTAATGTTTGAGAGACCAAAAGAGAAAAAAGGGTTTATTTGAAAACTATGACCCAAATCAACTCGAGTCGTTTCACTAGCCAATCTAGATGTTTTGGACTTATTAATAACTATTCAGAGTTTCTACGTGGGACCAATCAAAGTGACTGTCAGTTCGGTTTGATTCAGGTTTAAAATCATCGATTTTGAAAGCAAGCTCAAATTCTTAAAAAAAATAAAAAAATGGATGTTATAAAAGAAATGTTTGAGGTACACCACCAAGCCACCAAGGTCTACCCCATGTCCTTAAATTGGATGCCATATTTGAATGTGCAAATCTCTAATGAAAATTCCAAGCTTGCACTTGGAGCATTGTTTTCCTTTACCCTTTTTGCACAAAAGCAAATCTTTCTTTGAGAAGAATACTCAAATCTTTATCCTTACAACACACAAAGTATACATCTCAATCTAATTAGTTGATTTTCTCTTTCTTTCTTTCTTTCTTTCTTCAATCTTTGTGTCCATTTTCTTATGGGTTTGGTCTCTTTACCATTTCCTCACACAAATGGTTCTCTTTTCCAAAAACCAAACTACACTTGGTTTGATTTTGGATCGGGTTATTTCGGTTTGGTTCCAATTTAAATGCCCGCCCCTTTGGTGCAAATCAATCAAGATGTTCCAAATCAATCACTACTACAAACTCTGTTAGTGGATACTTCTTCACCATAGATGATACAGTACAAATCCTACATCTAGAGACTGGCAACTTACACCTAGACCGAGGCCTTCGGCATCATTCGTGCCTTAAATGAATACATATTTAGCCATATGACCACAATACATGATTAGGGTTGATTCTAATATTGTTAACCAGCTTAGTAAACTAAAAGAAGATACAGTTCAGCTTCAGGTCTGGCCATCTGCAAAACAATATAAACGTCACGAAAAAACATAGTAAACTTTAACAAAAATGTGAAGGAGTTTATAAATCGACATTTAACAGAAGATATTTGTGCAAAATGAAACAACTTGAAAAACTCCTTTTTTGAAGGGTGAATTTAATTGATTACCATTCTCTGGTGCAGAGATCATTGCGGATGGAACAGATGATCGCGCACCAACTTCTCATGTATTTCCATGGTAGAAATGCTTTTGCATCCAAACAGCTCCTGAAGTTTCGCATCACATTGAATCACTTTCGAATCTGTGGAGTCCTATGACCAGACAAGCAAAACAATAGATGACAATAAAGATGTTACCTTACTGACTGGCAAAGATATGATATAAAAAGTTGTGATATGAATGTATGAAACAAGGTTGCACGTATGGAGGAAGAGACTAATTTCTAAACAGGAAGACCAACATGGTTTTGTTTTTATTTATCATTTTTCTTTGGGTTAAAAATGCATATATCTAAAAGTACACGGGTCTTTGCGCAAATTCACCAAAAATCGCAGGAGGTAAAAGCTCTTTTTACACAAGTTAAGCACCACATTCTGTTTTGCCAGTCTAGATGTACTGCAGGCATGCAGTAAATTATTTGAATTATTACACAAACTCATTTAAATAGTTAATAAGCATGCAGTAAAATACTGACGTGTACTTTGCTTATAACTGGGAGAGTGAGATTTGAATAGAATGCCTAGCAAAAGCTGTTTTGCCCCATAGCTGCATGTGCAAATCTCTTACTAAAATTCCAAACAATTATTTGAATTATTACACAAACTCATTTAAATAGTTAATAAGCATGCAGTAAAATACTGACGTGTACTTTGCTTATAACTGGGAGAGTGAGATTTGAATAGAATGCCTAGCAAAAGCTGTTTTGCCCCATAGCTGCATGTGCAAATCTCTTACTAAAATTCCAAACTTGCAGCTAGAGCATTGCTTTCCTTTACCCTTTGCACAAAGGAAGCCTTCCCATGAGAATACGTACAATCGTCTCCCTTTAATACACAAAGTATACATCTCACTATCAAGAATTGAATTCTTTAAAGTATTTTCTTATGGGTTTGGTTTCTTTACCATTTCCTCCTCACACTAAAATGGGCACTAAATGGTTCTCTTTTCCATCTCAAGAACCAAACCCATATTTTCCCCTCTTCAAAACAGGCTCTTATAAATCTTTTGGAACTCAAACTGATAAGGTTTCTTCTTGTCAAACAATCTTCTCTGCTAAGAAGAGACTACTACCAGTAGCATGCAGTAATTCTCATGAAGGTTTACAAAAAGATGGGAAAGCAGTGGAAGCAGTCCTCAAACTTTATGTTGCAATTAGACAGAAAAACTTGCACGAACTTTCTAATATAATCGGAGAAGAATGCCGATGTGTTAGCAATTTTGCTCACAAGTTGAGACCTTTCCATGGTAAGAAGGTAAGACTATTGCTTATCTAGAAAGGTTTTCATCCCCTTTGGTCTCCTGACTAATAAATCATCCTGACTTTGGTCCTGGCTTTCATGTTTCTCAATTTCAGTGTATGATTATGAATTTCTTGCCACTATTGATATTTTTGGGCACTTATTTGCCAAATACTAACAAGGAATTGAAAGAACATTTGCTCTATAAGTGATCCAAAGAACCAAATGTGTCAAGAAAGCTATACCTGTGCACTGAAAATAAAAAGGATGGATACAAGTACCAAGATTGGGAATGACCTAATAATAGTGTGACGAATTGTGAAAAATGTTGATTTCATTATTTGTTTGCATTAAGTAATCAATTCATCCTCGTCTTTTTCAGTCACTTGACTCACTTATATGGCAAAATCCAACACAAAATTGTGTAGAAATTAGCCACATTAGTGATTAGAAGTGAGAACTAGGAATGACTTATAGTCGTTGACAAATAGAAAAAAAACCCACATTTGGTCCCACGAGTCCAAGACCATTAGGTCCTTTTTGTCCCTTTCAACTTTTTGATCACTTGGACATGCACGGATAATGAAAGTTGGAGACCAAAAGTGAGAATGACCTGATAAACATAGAACCAAGAGCGGAAAATTTATCTTTCAAAACGTTTGATGGCCATTTAATTTCTGCAGCAAGTACTCGAGTTCTTCTCGTCTCTGATTAAATCCTTAGGGAACAACATTGAGTTTGTGGTGCAGCCCTCGTTGCATGCTGGAATGGATGTTGGGGTTTCATGGAAACTAGGTAGCCAATCCTGTTTCTCAAAATGGATGTTTGGTTCATGGAGTGTTACAGTGTGACATTTCTTAGGTAATCTAACATCACTGTTATCTTAGGTAGTGTAATATTACCTTGGAAATATTTTAGACTATTCCAAGTTAGTCACATCCTGTGAACCAAACATCTTTAGGTAATTCCATATCCCTATAATCTTACATAGAATAATCATATTGCCTGCTCAAGGTAATCTCAAATTATCTGAACCTAATGGCATCTTATGTCTTCAGAATGCAGAAAGACGCATGCTCCTCTGGGAAAAGGTTTTAGCTTCCATATGTGTCATGTCTATCAAGGGAAGGTAATGATAAGGTAAAAAATTTACGTTTGTGGCATGCTACATCTAGTTTTAGTGTGGTGGATGATTGCTGATGCTACTAGCCTACTACATTCATGGAATCAGGAATGTGGAGATGTTTATGGAGCCACTCTTTCAAATCGAGCCACTTAGATTGGTAAGCAAATAATATTTTTGCATACTCTTACTTTCTTAGAGATGTGATCTCAGAAGTGAAAAAGTGTTTTTTTGCAGAAAATGATGTCTATTTTGATGCATGCAAAGGAGAAGATGAATTCTCAAATTGTTTTGAGAGATAAAACAGAGAGGAAGATCATGAAGATACTATGTGCTGTTCTCTGCGTGGTGGCATTTATGTTCTTTCTTGTAAAAACTAGATGTACCACAAAAAACAGAAAGTGGCTTGGAAGATAAATGCAAAATTCAGAAACTACTGTTCAGAACACAGCAATTTAGCACTGGTGGTTGATGCAAGTATGCAACATGTCATAACAGTTAAAGCTACATCAGCATGCTGAACATGCATTAAGAGGCAAAAGCAGAGACTTAAATACGCATTTTGTCCCAACTCCCAACAAGCAATATTCTTTTCTTTTTTTTTTTGTTTTTTTGCTGAAATTATAGGTTGCTGTAATTTTTTCTTATACATGTGTATTTTGAAACTATTGTTCAGAACACAGCAATTTAAACAGGTGGTTGATGTAATGTGTCTTAACAGTCAAAGCTAGATCATTATGTTGAACATGCACTAAGAGGAAATAACTGAGACCTAAATACACAGTTTGTCCCAACTCCCAACCAGCAGTATTCTTCTTCTTCTTCTTTTTCCATGTGCATACAGCCATACAGGCATGACGCATTTAATTCTTCAAAATTTTACAAAATGAATAATTTAAATAGTTAATATGCATGCAATAAATGTATGCAACTGAGAGAGTGAAATTTGAAATTTTATCACGTACCACCTGGTCGTTAACCTTTATATACTCCAAGACACGCTGGAGTGCCTCTGATGGGAGCATCTCTCTTTCTGAAGATCCTAAGAAGTTGGCAAGAGCATCTGATATCATCACGGAGTGCGAGCTAGATTCTGAATTATTTGGTTCCAAATTAGTCTCCACCTTCAATCTTTTAACTTGTCCTGGTTGTTCTGCACATATTTCTGTAGACAATGTATAAGGCAGAAAAGCAACTATATTACACTGCATTTTTTGAATAAAATGTTTTTGTGTGCCAAACACAAGTTCCAGTATCAAACACAAGAAAATCATCAAAACATTTTTAGGAAAATATTTGCGTTAACAAAGAGAGTCCGAGCATAGGTTTTGTAGATAGAAAGTATACTCGTGGGATCAAGTGGGAGGATATGTTTCGACAGAAGCTTATTCATCTTGAACATATCGGTGCAATCTGTTTCAAAGACTAAGCGTAGGGCCTCATCACAGATGATTTTCCTTTTGTTTCCAGGATCCTGCAGGTTGTGGTTCCTGATGTATGCCCACAGCTGCTTCACAATCTGGTTTGGAAAAGAGGGGTGCATTAGTAATTTCTCCAATCAATCAACCGTTACCTTCAAACAAGGACTTAACCTCGGTTCTAGGAAGTGCCGGCTGACCAACAATGACCTCAAGCTCAGGTGTCACAGCGCAAACTTTGTTCAGCCCACCTGCTCCTCCTCTTCTTTTGGTCCCGGCAGTAGTAGTGGTAGTAGTAGTAGTAGTACTGGAATCAAATGAGCAAATACAGAAGATACTTATTTTAGCTCATCAATCACGCTAATAAATTTATCACAAGTCATAACAGCTCTTAACAGAGTAGCCTTAACCTCAATCTTCTAAGGTAATCTTTATCTTTCAAATATGCCCCTATTAAATGGTACTTCATTACAAGCAGTTACCTCAATTACAAGTAATGCTCATTTAATAGGAGCAATTATGGGAAAACAGACTAAATATGCATTGACAAGATAAAAATGACTTATAGATAAGGCCATTCTATACTTCATATAAATAGGACTTGAGGGAGTATAATTTTGGGATATGTTCAGATAATTCAGCAAATTTATCCATTTTGGCCATCCGCTCAGCCAATATTTATCTCATCAAATGGCCTTTAAAAATTCATGCGGTAAGAACATTGAAATTCGGGCATTTCATATGCCAGAAATCAGATTAAGAAGAATATTATGTGAAGTGTTATAATATAAGGAAGTAACGGCTCTGACTAATCACTATTGTGTTCTCTAAAACCCTAAAAATTGAATTGCTAGTTTTGCTACCAACTTGAAGGAAGCTTTAGGAACATAATGCTCTAATTACAAATAATAAAAATTTTATCTCTAATTATCGCAGGAAAAGCAAAAATGAGGCCTAAAATTAAGCAAAACCCAACCTTTCCTTGGGAGCCGGAGAAGCATTTTGAACCACATTCTGAGCAGCTGTGACCCGAACAACAGCAGGCCGTGGCGGCTGAGCTGGGGGCACTGGCTGCTGCATCGTCACTTGCAGGATCTGCTGCGGCAGCAGCGGCGGAGTAGTGTTGTGCTGGTAGTGCTGCTGCTGCTGCTGAAGGGCAAAGTGGGAATAGAAGTGCTGTTGGGGTTGGGTGGTTTGGAATTGGTGGTGGTGGTTCCGGAGGGCAAAAGGGTACATAGAGTGCATAGGGTTCTGCTGCGGCTGCGCCGCCGCCGGCGGCGTCTTTGATCGGAGGAGGTGGATCTGGTCGCTGATGAAGGCGGCTTTGTGAGAGAGGTCCATGCCGAGCTGAGCTTCCAGCTGCTGAACGACACCGTTTAGGGAGATGACGGCGTTAGGGTCTGTCTGACGGAGAACCGTCTCCACCCCTTTCGCTATCTCCTGATCAGACGCCATGGCTTAAAGCTTCACACACACAGTACAGAGTATATACACTTCAACGGAAAGTAACGACCACAAACTGATCTCTCTCTCTCTCTCTCTGATCTCTCTCTCTCCTTTCTTCGTCTTCTCTGGCCCATTTTTTATTTTATTTTTTTTCTGTCTATATATAAACCTAAATGACGGAAAACGCCCTAAAGTTTTATTTTTAAGCGGAGTATTCATTTTAGTAGTTTGCATCTTTCAAAATTGTGTTGGAGATTAGCGTTATTATTTTGAAAATGCTATCTACGAATAGCGTTTAATGTTAACATTTTGAAAATAATCTACAGCGTTAAAATCCTATCCAAAACACTGACGCTAATATTTAACAATATTCCCGAACATGCCCCTTTTTCGCCGTGAGATTATCATTTGAATTTGATTTTATACAGTGTTTAATAAAGTGAAATATGATTGATTGCGATTTTTGTACAGAAATTAAAACGGATATGAACTAAATATTTGTTTTCTTAAAATCAAAAAAAAGAAAATTTCAGAACAATCCAAATAAAAAAGAAGGAAGATAATTATGGAATATACAAGTAATTTGTAAGCACTCATATTCCATGTTAGTGCCCGGGACGTAGCTCAATTGACAAAGATCTCGAGTCGTTAAGGACATTCGAACTAGTGGTTTGTCGAGTGGAGAGTGAGAGTCACAAACAATTTGTGAATTCGGCTTCCCCGCAGGCAAGATTACCAAACAAGATCCTGATCAGTTGAGGCACATCTTGTGATTTACTTCCTCTGTTCTCAAAAACTCTTCCTCTTTCATTTTTTTTACTTCCAACAAAACACTTCCACTTTTTATTAAAAAACCATTTTTACCCTTACTTTTTCATACCATATCTATCGCATCATATTTTTTTAGCACTCAATCCATCACATCTTACTTTTACCCATCACATCAAGGGCAAAATTGGAAGTCAACTACAATTTAACACTTCCTTATTTTTACACAAAATCAAAATAGGAACACTTTTATAGATTTTTTCACCATCCTCGAAGGCACAGGCATGGGGAACCTTGAAGTCGTTTCCTTTTGCCCGCAAGGTTTTTTGTTAAATTGTGATTAAATTCTTTTGGACTCAACCAATTCATACTTATTTTAGTTAAGGAAAAATTACCCAAAATAATCCCAACTTTACCCGGTTTTTCAAAAATAATCCCACATTTCACTGTGATGCATAATAATCCCAACTTTACTGAAATTTGCCAATTTTGGGTCGCCGTTAAGTGTCTAACGGAGGGTTAACGGAAATGCCCATTTTGGACAACAAAATGAAAGTTGGGATTATTTTTGATGAATTTTTGTTTTTTAATTTTTTTTTGAAATTTTTTATTTAAAGTTTTTGAATTGCTTTCTACCTCCATCATCATTTCTTTTTCCTTTTTAAAGATTAGTCTTAGTTTAAAAAATAAAAATAATAGATATAAAAAATGAAAAAATGAGAAATGTAACTAAAATGATACAAAAATAATAAAATAAATAAGGTAATCAATGGAAACTAACTTGAAATTGGTAAAAGTAAAATAAAAATATACGGGTGAGTTTTAATATTTTACGTATTATACAAAGTATTAACATATCACTACTTATTTTTTAGAAAAAATTATCTACGATAATTCCAATTTTACCGGACGGTTTGTTCTTTTAAAAAATAAGTAGTATATTAAGATCTCGTATAGTGTGTAAAATGTTAAAACCCACCACTCCGTATATATTTATTTTGTTTCTTACCAGTTTCTGTTTAATTTCTATTGATTACATTATTTATTTGATTAAGTTTGTATTGTTTTAGTTATTTTTCGCATTTTCATTAATTTTTTTATCTATTTTTTTCTAAGGTAAGAATAATCTTTAAAAAAGAAAAAGAAATGGAGGTTAAAAGTAATTCAAAAAATTTAAATAAAAAATTTCCAAAAAAAATTAAAAAACAAAAATTCATCAAAAATAATTCCAACTTTCATTTTGTTGTCTAAAACGGGCATTTCCGTTAACTTTCCGTTAGAAATTTAACGGCGACCCAAAATTGGCAAATTTTAATAAAGTTGGGATTATTATGCATCATAGTGAAAGGTAAGATTATTTTTGAAAGACAGGGTAAAGTTGAGATTATTTTGGGTAATTTTTCCTTTAGTTAATGACAGGGAGGGATCATTTCTTTTCTTGTTTTTGTTATACATACTGTAAAAAAATGGTACTCCCTCCGTCCAAAATTAAACTTTACATTACGCGTTACGATGTTTGGCTGAAGTTATTTTCAAATCATTTTATATGAAAAATGGTGTAGAATTAAAAAATAAAAATTACATATTAAAAAACTATATCAAAAGTTCTACAAAACTAGAGGTGATATGACTATATTATTTTATCAAATGGGTGACGAAAATAGGCCAACAAAGTGAATAAAGTTTGACCATGTGAATAGTGAACGTAAAGTTTATTTGTGGACGGAGGGAGTATTAAAAAATTTTAATATGCATAAGGTGTTGACTTGTAAATACCTATTTCGATATAAAAATGTCAAAAAAATTGACTAATGACTTGGCATCTAGATATTCTAGGCAAATGTTTATATTAAAATGAGTTTTTGTCGTATGTTTATATGAATAATTTTATTATGATGGTATATTTTACTCTCCGTCCCTTGAACTCTTTCCCCTTTCTTTTGTTTATCCTACTAACTCTTTCCCTTATCTATTAAAACCCCACTTTTACCCTTTATTTTTTCATACCCTACCTATCACAACATACCTTTTTACTAATAATCTATCCATTACATCTTTCTTTTACCCATCACATCAAGGGTGTTTTTGGAAATTTAACTCCAAAATATCTCTCCCTTAATTTCCCAAAAAGTCAATAAAGAAACAACTTTACGGAACGAAGGGAGTAATATACACACAATATATTTCTTCTTATTTTTTACTTATTCTAGTTGTACCATTAGATACAAGATACTAACATTTTCAATTACACAAGACTAAATATATGATTGGGCGGCACTGCGCCGGGTTTGAGAAAACCCTCGAGGATGGGCTCATCTTTTTTTTGTTTAAAAAATAAAAAGACACTAGTGAGTATTGCGCTGTTGGCAAGGGAAGAGGTGCCAAAGGGGTAAGACCCGAGTTCGATTTTTAGCAACTGCGCTGGGGGACAAATATGCTAAGCATAAGTCCTCTGCAAGTACCAGGTGCAGGCTCTACTCTTTAACACCAATCTGTGATTAAAGTCTAATTTACTTTTAATCAGTGACCGTTCGATCGAGTCTGAGGGGTCTTGGAGGATAGGGCTCTTTTTTAAAAAAAAATAAAATAAAGAATTAAGCTAGGAGTACACCAACATGGGGTACCCCTAGCATTGCCCTAAAATAAAAGATGAAGGAGAACCTGGTAGAGAAAAGGTAAAACATGAAATGATGGCCAATGATTGGCGACAAGAAAAGGTAGGGGAGCATAGTAGGTGCTTGGATGTTGTTTGGTTGGGCGACATGTATGGATACTTCGGGTGCTAACTTAGATTTAACCTAAATTTCTTCAATAACTTTATTATAAAGGATGAGTCTCTCACATTTGATCTGAGAATAAATTTTGATCGTAGATTAGTAACAGAGAGTAGAGTTTGCACCTGTAACTTAAAGAGATCATATGCTTAACATAATTATCTTCGAGTGTTGTTGTCAGAAATCGAATTCGGGTCAACGTATACTCAGGCTCCTGAGTAGAATAATTTAAAATAAATTGACAGAAAAAAAAATGCAACTTACATAATTAAAGATCACATTTTTTAAAAAAGAAAATAACATGATTAAAATATTTTATTTTATCAAATGTTCATTGAAAATATATATTCTCTTTGTTCCAAAATGTTTTACATTTATGCAAAATGAATTAAAGTTTCACGTTTTTTAAATTCATTTTATTTAAGATTTGGTATAAAATGAAAGTAAAACTTACATACTTAAAAATTACATAAAAAATTCTATTAAATGTGGTTTTCGCCTTGAAATGCCAACATAACAAATATGTGTGAACTGTACAAATTTTAGTAAAAAAAATCTACCTAGATAGAATTTATATCAAAATCTACCTTGACATTATATGTTGACGCTTAAAATATTTACAATTTATATATTGACATCTATTGAAACGTCTAAACTCTAGAGTGAGTGTTCCATTTTTTCTAAAGGATGAGTCTCATCTCTAATGATTCCCTCAAAATCGACCAAACAATAAAAGAAGTGAACTGAACTTTGATCACAAATTGACTGGCAAAGAATGTAACCTAGACCTAGTACTTGTAGAGTCTTATAGGGAGTATTTAATATAGTTGTTTCAAGGATAGTTGTTAGAAATCCAAGTCCAATGTTATTTGTTTGGCACTACTTACCTTGCCAAATGTGCTATGCCTCTCGCCCTTTTTTTAAAAAGACAAGTCCCATCTTTGAGGCTCTCCTCAAAAACCGATTGGTCATTCATTTGAAAAGAAGTGTAATTAAATCGATACTTGAAAAAGTCTTATACCTAATATAATTGATTCCAGGGGCTAGGGGAAGGCACGAGTCGTGACAGTTCGAGTTTTATACCATCTTGCATTTTGTCGTATTTTTTCAAGCGGTACGAGCCACAACTTTATTCCTCTTTGTCCTTTAATATTCGGGATCAGGATAAAATGGAACAAGTACAGATTTCCTACTTTTTCATTATCTGAAATTTGATATAAAAATATAAAATGTATAAGGGGGAGGCAAGTCACTTTGACTTGCAAAGTAATAAAAAATGATATACTTCGTATTTATTAGAAATAAATTTAAAAAGTTAAAATAAAAAGGAAAATGAAAAAAATGTCACAACATAGTCAAAAGTCAAGACTATAAGCTTCACTTTAACTATGAGCTACAAATTAGAGTGGACTAGGTTAGAATGCTATGGATTTTTTGGTGTTCTGGTCCTCGTTTATTTTTTTAGAATATTCTAATGCGGATATTTCTTATATCTATTTTCAGAGAAACAAAAATTATGATTTTTGTGTGTTATACCATCATATATATAAATAAGTAGATATATACATATATACGAGACAACGTGACAAAATGAAAAAATATTTATGTGATCCAATCTTGTCCCATTTTAAAATAATTCGAAACGGATTCCGAACAAAAGGAACATTATAAAGACCCATGGCTTAGGATAGGAGGCTCCTTCAATCACGAGGCATTATCACGTAAAACCGTCGCACCAAAGCTGCAGCGAGTGACCTTCGCGATCTCTCTAACTACCAATTTTCCCATCCGCTCATTCTTTCAAAATTTTTCGGATCACCTCTCGACCCTGTACATCGTTTCTCAATTCTCATCCATTTCTTTGTCTGGGTATTTCACATTGGCATCATCTCCCCACAACTTCTCCGAAAGTTTCAATCTTTACCCATAAAAAAGAAAACTTCGATCCCTCTCTCTTTTCCAGCCTCTGCGAGCGATTCTTGATCTTCCGGAGAGTTTTAAGGTTTTCCTGTTGATGTCATTGGCTGCTGGAGCGGCTTCGAGTTCTGGGACCATGGGGCTTGATGAGGACCCAGAAGTTTCAGAGGGTAATAATGCCAAATCCATGGCGGATGATGAAACGGACGGGGAAGTGGCCGAGAAGAAGATTTCCAGGCATATGAGTGAGAGCTCTATGTACACTACTGAGGATGAGGATGATGATGAGGCTGATAATAAGATTCAATTGGGCCCTCAGGTTACTCTCAAGGAACAATTTGAGAAAGATAAGGTATGTGAATTATGCAGTTGCAATAATAGTAATGAATAAATGATATAGAAGATTCTTCATGCTGGTTTAATGTGTTCTTTTTCTTCTTTTTTTTTTTTGAAAAAAAAATTGGAATTTAGGATGATGAGAGCTTGAGAAGGTGGAAGGAGCAACTTCTTGGGAGTGTGGATATAAATTCTGTTGGGGGTATATTTATTTATTGCGGAGAACATTTTTTTTTTATCTTTCTGCTCCAATATTTTATCCTCTTTCTGATGCATATATGCATTTGGAACCTTAGATAAACAAGAATAATAATAAACCCAGTAAAATATCATAAAACGTAGGTCTATGTAGACCTTACTACCCTACTATGAATTCTGGAACCTTGGATGTCATTCTACATATATTATTTTTTGAAATTCAATTGTTTTTTTTAATTGTGTTTTTGAGGAGTTGGGATCTGTTGCCCATTTGCCCGTGTTGTTCACCTAAACCATCCGATCTAATCTTTGATCGGATGGTTCCCATCCAGCAAGCAGTCAGGTGGTGTTGTATGTCGATCTTTGCTTGTTGGATGGAAAGGGACAACCGGACAAGTAGCAAATCCGAATATTTCGCAGTTAAGATATCCATTAAATAGTTTGGAATAAACCTCAGCTTAATCCTTTTGTTAATGCCCAATGTAACAAAATTAGGGTGTGTTTGGATTCAGCTTTCGGCAAAACATGCTTTGCTAAACTCTGTTATTGAAAAAGATGCCTTCCAAAACAAGGTTTTTAAAATTACTTCATAAAAAAGTGCTTTTGAAATGAGCTGAGTCTATGTGGAATACAAACAGCTCTCAACTTTCATTTGTGTTCTGGAAACAGTTTATTTCTACAACGTATTTTTAAAGGTTTAATCCAAAGGGGCACCAGTGTACTCCATAACAGATTGGGAATGAAGAATTTGTTGAGTAGAATTCTTTATCTGTACATCAAATCCCATTCTTGACTTCTTGTCAGCACCCAGTACATGTAAGGCCCATTTGATAAAAGCTGTCTGGTTGAACCTCTTGAAATTTTTAGAAGGAAAAACGTCTAATACTATCCATTCTAACCAAACAAGGGCCCGTTTGGTAAGGGTTATTTTGGCTGAAATGGCATATGATATTTGATTTTTCAACCAAATAAGGCTCCGTTTGGTAGCCAAAGCTGGGCTTATCTTGCGTATCAACATATGCCTAGAATTCTGAAAAGGTAGCTTTTGACTCATTTGGCTGAATGGATGTTACCAAAAACGTTACCCTTTCGAAGCATTTAGCAGATTCTATTATATGAGCTAAATAGCCCTCACCAAATGACCTCTACAAAAGCCAGATGCTACTTATTTTGCTTCCTATTGCAAGCAGAATAAGCTGATTATGGCTACCAAACAGGGCCTTAATTTGAATAATGTACTCCGTATTTAATTCTTGAACAAAGAAAATAGCAGGATTTGGGAGTTTATCTAACCGAATATATTGTTTCCTGCCACTACAAAATTGCAGAAACTCTGGATCCCGAAGTTAAGATTCTGAGCCTTGTAATCAAATCTCCTGAAAGATCAGATATTGTTCTCCCAATCCCTGAAGATGGAAACCCTAGCAGCCCATGGTTTACACTGAAAGAAGGCAGCCGTTACAGCCTAACATTTTCATTCCAGGTCAGCAATAACATTGTATCTGGTTTCAAGTATGCAAACACTGTTTGGAAAACTGGTATAAAAGGTAACCTCTCTTCCCCTACATGCATTCTCAAGTCCAAGATTGTTTTTTTTAACTTCTTTAGCTAAAGATTTTTTTTTTTACCATTATTTCAGTTGATGGGACAAAGCAAATGATAGGCACATTTAGTCCTCAGGCAGAGTCTTACACACATGAAATGCCCGAAGAGACAACTCCATCTGGCATGTTTGCTAGGGGATCATACTCTGCCAAGTCAAAGGTTAGTACACATTAGCAGCCTGTTTGGCAAGGATTATATGGGCTGAAATGTTGGAATGTGCTGGAAGCGTTTGGCAACACTTATTTCAACCGAATAAATAAGCTAAAAGATATATATATATATATATATATATATATATTAAACAAAATAAGCCAGATAAGGCTACCAAACATCACCTTATTGAATTTTCACTTCAGTTGGAGTGTAGGTGGTTAAAATATTACATTCCAAGGACATTTTTGATTGATTTTAATCTTACTACAAATCATTTTTTCCTTGTACAGTTCACGGACGATGACAACAAATGCTACCTGGAGATCAACTACACTTTTGAAATCAAGAAAGAATGGCCAGCAACATAAATGCTGTTATTGATGAACTGTTCCACCTGAAGTGTTCTTGTTTCACTGTTTGAGTTTTTTTCCTTACCCCTTTTTTCCCTTTCTGGTGGTTTCTGATATTGGAAAGGTGGTGGAAAGTCCAACCGAGCTTCATCGTTTGTGCGATGATTGAGGGGGGTTTTTCTTTTGACAGTTAGAATCTTGTTTGTTGAGTTTTATAGCTTTCCCCATATGTGTTCTTTGATGATTAAGATTGGAGACTATTATATTAGTCAAGAAATTGTTCTGACTTGAATTGGTTCATGTCCCACAAAGCTATTGACAATATGAGGGTATGTTACATTCCTTTTCACACCGTTTAGAGTGTTTTCATTGCACATGCTTCAAACAAAAAATTGATTCAAGCTGAGTTTATAAACAACTAAAGTGCCAAATCCTGGATAATTTTTTATAAACCACTTATAGTACTCAAACTCTCTTTTGGAAATAAATTTGTGCAGATCTTCAATAATGAGACTTGTCATGGTTTCTATGCTTGCATAAGTAGTTCCAAGTTCTAACACGTTTTCATGTCCAATGCCCAAAATCCACCTGAAAAATAGGGTGTGCAGTTGCAAATGTGGATTCCATGCTTTTAACAATACAAGGTAATGTTTGAGTGACTGAACATCCAATTAAATAGGGAAATGCACAAGCTCTAGCAACAGAAATTTGCCCAATAATTTTTCTAACCAGATGAGTCAATTTGATTCCAAGCACAAGTATTTAAAGTAAATCCAAAGAACTATTTTTTCCACCAAACTTGTGATTAGAGGTTAAAGTATACATTTCAAGATTGTTTTCATTTCATTTTCAATTACATTCTAGAGAGGGAGAGAGATGGAAATGGGAAGAGATTTGAAAAGTGTGGTCAAGTATTGGATGGAGGGAGAAGTTACAAACTTCATAAAGGTATGGACTTTAGCATGCATATCTCTCTGCTATTGCTATTTTGCAGCCAAGCTGGTGCAAAAGGGTGCACCAAGGCTCTTCTCTCTCCTCCCTGTTGTTTGTCTCTTCTTTCTTCTCCCCCTAAGCCTCCACTCCATTAATCTTGGTGGCACCACTGGTTTCTTCCTTGCTTGGCTTGCCAATTTCAAGCTTCTACTCCTTGCCTTTGGCCGTGGCCCCCTCTCCGACCCTTCCATCTCTCTCCCTCGTTTTCTCGCCCTTGCTTGCTTCCCCGTCAATGTCCAGAACAGCAGCTGCAGAGGAGAAACCCCAACTTCACACGAACCCCATTTTCAAGAAACCCCAAAGGAAAAGACTGATCTTTACACTCAAAACGAGACTTTTCAAGAAAACCCACACCAGCAAGCATTGGAAAAATCTCATCTTTCCCCACAAAATGGAGCTTTTCAAGAAAGCCCACACCCAGAATCCCAGGAAAGATCTGATCTTTCCTCCCAAAATTGGAATTTCAGTGAAAATCCATCTGCTGAAAGATTAAAATCGCCTCCGAAATTCGTGATTTACGCAGTAAAGGCTCTTCTGCTAAGTCTGATGATACAAGTTTACAACTACAGCGAGCATAAACAGCACAAAACAATGACAAAGATTCTGTATGTCATCTTCATTTACATATACTTGGAGATCATACTATCCATTCTTTCAGACATGACTAGTGGAATTCTTGGTCTAAATCTGGAGCCCCAATTCAAAGACCCGCTTTTCACTAGTTCCCTACAGAACTTCTGGAGCGGAAGATGGAACCTCATGGTCAACCGGATTCTGCGCCCCACCGTCTACGACCCGGTTCTCCACTTCTGGGCCGACCGGTTCGGCCGGAGATGGGCGGCGTTCCCGGCCGTGATGTCGACTTTCGCCGTGTCCGGTTTGATGCACGAGCTGATGTTCTACTACTTGGGCCGGGTCAAGCCCACCTGGGAAATCACCCTGTACTTCGTCCTCCATGGGAGCTGTCTGGCGGTGGAGATCGGGGTGAAGAAGAAGCTCAAAGGGAGGTACCAGCCGCCGAGGTTTGTGGCGGCGGCGCTGTCGCTTGGGTTCTTGATTGGGACGGGCTTTTGGCTCTTCTTCCCGCAGCTGCTGCGGTGCCGAGCCGACGCCAAGGCGGTGGCGGAGTATGCTAATGTCGGCCTGTTTCTCAAGGATTTGGGCAGAGCTTTAAATTTGGGTTTTGAATGAGAGAGAGGACAGAAGGTAAACAAGACCATGTTTGGATTGACAAATGAGTTAAATGAGATGTTGAAATAAGTATTACTCACTCTTTCTTATAGAATTTGTCCTCTAAATTTTTCTTAATTAATGATAAAAAATTATCATTGACTACAAACGTCAAATATATATAAATATTCTAGAAAGAGTGATATTATCTACTACTCCGTATTTGTTTGAAAAAGTTCGTTAGGAAATCTACTCTTGACACTATTTTTGATATTACAAAAAAAAATTATCGATACAAAAATGTCAATAAATATCTATGTAAATTATCTATACAAAAATGTCTATAAATATCTTTGTTTGTTTTAGGGTGGTTGTAATGGTAGTTTAAGTCTAGCTTTAACCATTACAAAGAGAAATTACAAAGAGAAAATGAGGCAAAAATTTTTAAATTTAGCTTTTTAGTAGAAAATTGAGTTTATGAGAGAGATGCTAGAGGTACACATTTTCATGAGAGAATGGTGGTCTCTACCATCTACATCTCTTGCTTTTTTCAATTTTTATAATTTTTTTGTGATTGCATATCTATAAATATATTTTATTTAATTTAACAGAAGAAAAAAACTATTTTAATTAATTTAATTAAATATAACGATTAATTTTGTTTATTTTACATTTTTTTGAATATCGGTTATTTTACTAAAATGTGATAGAATGCATTTAAGACGAGTTGGATTGATTGAATGACAAAATACGAGTGTAAACTCTCATTTTAGAGATAAAAAATGCTACTCCAAAAAATAAAAATTACTCGGTATGTTTTACTCATATTCTAAATGATTTGTTTCGATCACGCCCCTGCCACCGACTACGATTATCACTGCCAACCACTCGTGTTGCCGGTCATGTCTGTATATCACAAATTAAATTATGATTTTAATATTTTTTAAACAACGTCATTTCAAATTTCAAAATTCTAACGATTATCATTTTCCCATATATCAAAATACATACTACCTCCTTCCCTATTTGTTTGCCACATTTCTAAAACCGAGGCAAAATATCAAGTATTTTAATTTATTTTATTTTAATATTGGTATAGAAATATAAAATAAAATTTACATATTTAAAAACTAAATGAAAAGTTCTTTGAAATAAGAGATGTCGAGAATATTTTATTTTATCAAATAACTAATGAAAGCGTACAAATAAACAAAAATTTTTGCGATTGTCTTTTAAGAACAGAGGGAGTATTATATCATATTTTCACAACTACCAAATGAGCCATTAATGAGTTACTAGGTCAATATTTCTATATTAATCATTGTTATTAAACCCAGATTGGACCAGGCGGTCCAACCGGTCGAACTGCATCTCAGATACACAACCAGTCCGATCCAACTCTCCCAAAACCCGGAAAAATTTGGAATAATCCGGATCGACTCAGAAAATCCGGATTGACCCGGGACCCGTCCTCCATATCGGGTCGACCTCTGGTCCGGGTTTAAAATCATTGATATTAATGGGACATGTTGCCATCAATTAGTACTCGGTATTCAAAGTTAAATATACTCGGTTTTTGACTAGAAAAAGTTAGAAAATGAAAAAAAAAAATCTTAGGATGACAACTATAAAACCTAACATTTTGAAAATCAAAATATGCAAATTCAAATATTGAGGCACAATATTTTATTGACCGTGAGCACTTCTTCTCTGTTGAACTAAAATAGAATGGAGATTTTTTTTTAAAGCACTTCTCTGCATGTGGATCTGCCAATGGATGCATGTATTTTTGCAGGCTAGGAACTTTGATAAACTTATGCTTCTAACATCTTAAGGGGTACAAAAACTTTCCTCTCCTTTTTAATGTCCAAAAAATATTTCCAAACATAATTTTCTTTCAACGTGGCTCACAAAATTTCTCTCCTCTAAACATTTTTGCAATCCCATAATTTTATTTTTTTAAATATCTTTTTTGAATTCTGTAAAATTTAAAATGTACTCGGGTATTAAAAAACATTTCTTAAGTTGTATTTCAAAATGAGTCTACATATTTAAAAACTACATCAAAAATTTTACAAAATAAGAGGTGACAAGACCAGTTCTAGGGCCATGTGGGGGGGGGGGGGGGTTCATCATTTTTTTAATTTAAATATATACTCGGTAATACTTAAAGTAATAATTAAAGGAAACAAGCGCTCCGCAAGGATAGGCAAGTCATCGTTTTCTCCCTGTTGAAAACTGCGACTCATTTTTCCCCAAGTAGGAAAGCGTAGGCACAACGTTTTTGACCACCCAAAATAAACAAAGACCCCATTTTTATTTTTATTTTTATAATAAACCTCCTCCATTTTTCTCTCCATTTTTTTTTGAGATTTCCCTGAAACAAGATGATCGGATCTGGTCTGTTTGGGACAACATTTTTAACACTGGACGGCGGCGAGATCAAGAACTTGATCATCGTGTGGTCGACCGTCGTGGCTTCTCTGTGTTATTGCCACGCCGCCGCCAATTTCCTCCCACCCAAACACGCCCTAACAAGAGCCCTAGCCATTCTCCCCATTGTCTCCCTCTTCTTCCTCCTCCCTTTCAACCTCACCTCTGTAACTCTTGGCACACCCTCCTGTTTCTTCATTGCTTGGTTAGCAAGCTTCAAACTCTTCCTTTTTGCCCTTGGCCTTGGCCCTTTGGCCTCCTCCCCTCCCCTCCCCCTCTCCTCCTTCATCCCCCTGGCTTGCTTGCCCATCAAGTTTCGAAAACCCGTCACCGTTAGTGCATCTGGGTCAACGGTTCTTGCTGCGGGGACAAACGTTGATCCGGGATCGGATAAAACCCGGAAGTCTTCTTTGGTCGGCCGTGCCGTGAAATTCGTGCTCTTGGCGGTGTTGATCCGCGGGTACGGGTGCCGGGAACGGATGCACCCGAAGGTGGTGCTCGTCTTGTACGGCCTCCACATTTACTTCGTCCTGGAGCTGGCGCTGGTCGCAGTGGGGTATGTGGCGGGGAGAGTGTCGGGTGTCGAGCTGGACCCGCCATTCGACGAGCCACACCTCGCCACCTCGCTCCAGGACTTCTGGGGGAGGAGGTGGAACTTGATGGTGACCAACATCATGCGCCCCGCGGTGTACGACCCGGTCCGGGCCGCGTGGGCCCGCATCGTGCCGGGGCGGTGGGCCCGGCTCGCGGCGGTAATGGCGACCTTCCTTGTCTCGGGGGTCATGCACGAGTTCGTGTTCTACCACATGGGGAGGGAGAAGCCGAGCGGCGAGGCGTTGTGCTTCTTCCTCCTGCATGGGGCGTGTTTGGGTGTGGAGATTTGGATCAAGAAATCCCTAGTTGGGAAATTCAAGCTTCCTGGTTATGTGTCAGGGCCTTTAGTATTGTCATTTTTAATGGTTACTAGTTTTTGGCTATTTTTCCCACCAATGCTGAAGAATAAGGTTGATGTGAAAGCATGCAATGAGTGTCTTGCATTCATTGAGACTCTCAAGCATCATAAATTAGTTAGTCCAAATAATATTACATGTCCTTTCTTTTGATCACATGCTTTTCTTCTAGGATGGTGCTAAGAGGACCCTGAGAATTGCACACCAAGACAAACAGAGACGTAGGTAAACACTCAATGTCTGTGCGTGCATAGACAATTGAGTGTTTGTGTTTTTCTGTTGGTGTGCACTTAATGTACAATTGTTGAAGTCCCCCAAGTATTTTCATTTCTTCTACTCTCAAGGTTAATCTACCGAGTAATAATGCGATGACTGATGGACCGTGCTAAGGACACCCCACCTTTCTCGTGAATATCTACAGACACCCGTTACTCTATATGTATCCATGGATACCCGCAACTCTCTAATGCCTGAGTGTGTGCGACAAGGTCGGGGTGAGGTGACTTGAGCATTTTACTAGTGTTATGTGCACCTTTATCTTTACAAACACTTCTTGTAATTCCAGCTCACCATTGCAAGCATTGCAATACAGTAATACACCAATTACGGAGTAATATACTCCGTATATAATACTCCCTATGTCCCAACACTAGAGGCAAATTATGGTCCCCAATTACGGGTGATTTTCCATATTTAGTTCCTGATTTTTAGAAATTTCATAAACGGTCCTCAATTTTTTGAAAACTATTTCATAAATAGTCCTTTAGGCCAAATATGAGAAAATATTTTTTCCCACAAAAAGTCCTTGAAGAATTGATTATGGAATAGTTTTCAAAATTTGAGGACTACTTGTGGAAAATCTAAGAATTGAGGACTAAATATGGAAAACCACATGTAATTAGGGACCATTTATGGAATTAATTTATTTTTTAATTGGGCATTCCAAAACTAAAGTCACACTTTTATATTTGGCATAACCAACTCACTAAAAAAAATACTACTCTGCATAACACCCCTACCTTTTAAATCATTTTTTCTACATATACAATCAGTTTTACACTCTCTTATTTTTTGACTCGCCCACCCTAACTTTTTCAATCACTTTTACACTCCCTTCTTCCAAAACTACTTTTACACCCCCTTTTTCTAACCATATCACATCAAAGTCATACTAGGGGCAAAATTGGAAAGTCACCATCACTTTAAATTTTGTCTTAATCTAAAGTCAAACTGTGTCTTTTAGTAAGGGGACGGAGGGAGTATATATGCCATAAAGAGGAGATGATAAAATTGAGCAACCCAAAGCATAGCCAACTTCAAGAAAAGAGAAGCACATAAATGCAGGTTTAATTAATGGCTACACAGAACCATGAAGTCAACAGTTCTGAATTCTGATCCAACATGTTTAATTTCACCAAGCTGTTCTACTATCTTTCACTGTGACCGTTTTTGCAAAGAATAATTGACTACTCCATGGGTTTGTTTGCAATTTTAAAAATTCTCAGGGATCAATTGGTAATTAACCTGTTATAAATAGCCTGAGGCCTGAGCCTAGGTGAACTGTCCACAAACAAAGATAGATATATAGAAATGAAAGGGAAGTTACCTCTTAAGTTGTTGGCCTTTGGGAGCATTATTATGATACTGCTGTGGGAGATTCCTTCCGCTTCCTCTGCATGCGGTGGTGGTGGTGGAGGGTGTCGGGGCTGCATAGTAGATAAGATGATGAAAGACTGCCCGAAATGCTGCCCCATCATGCAGTGCATGTCACGGTGCCTGTGGGGCAGCGGATGGTCTGCCCGCTTCAAGTGTGCCAAGAAATGTGACTGCAATACTGGCGGCTTTCCGAGGTTGTCTGATTGCAAGCACTGCTTGTCACAGTGTAAATGCAGCTGTTCTGTCTGAAACATACTCCGTATATGTTTGTATGTCTTTTTGTAGGACAATTCTTGTTGCACACCAAGTTTAAAGCCAAAGATGAATTTTGATATCTCTTGTCTCTGAATTGTGAACAAGCATAGCATCTCACAAGCAAGAGATCCTTCTTTGCAGCCAAACTTGATATGCAACAAGTTAATTGCTTTGTGTAACTATGTATACCTGTTTGCTTGTCCAAAAAAAAGAACATGTTGAGACCAGTCTTTTCCAACATTTTTCAACCGTATGCTTTTGTTCTCAGAAACTAAACCCAGATACACTTGGCAAAGAATAGTGAAAATAAACATAGAACGAGTGTTAGAAACAGCAGCTCAGCTAATCGACCTTGAATAAATATCACACACTTTGGGTTGATTAGCTATGTATTACAGCAAAAGCACCCTTTTTTTAGCAAAGCTTTAAGGATTAACGCAACAGCAAAAACAAAACCAAGCTCAATAAAATGTTAACGCAGGGTGCAGAGAGGGTATTTGTACGTAAACTTTACCCCTACTCTGCAGTATATATGCTTTCTTCAAGAGACCCTGGCTCATAGTTTTAAAGATATCATTAGTAGGGTACAAGGAGTGTGTGTGTGTGCGTGCACCTTTCTCCTACTCGGAAGTAGAAAAGTTATTAACAAGAGACCCGGCTCTATGTTTTAAGGATATCATTAGTTAAAATCTCTAATCAGGAGGCACATCGGCATCACGGACATTCAAATGGCGAGAAATTAACAAAAAAAAGTACCCAAGCAACTTTACTCATATTTATATTTATCTTACACACACACACACTTGTTAGGATCTCACAACTTCATGACGGTAGGACTATATATTGATGATTCGAAATATGTACAATTACAGAGAATACACGTTATAATCAAATATATCCACACAAATGGGATATATTTTATAGTACATCAACTATATATAATCAGACTTCACACCCTAACAACACACAGAGAAAGAAGCAAGGAATAACAACGTAGAAAATATAGAGCAAGTGGGCACTGTCACCATTGGTCATGAAGAAACTGTTGAAGGCATCGAAACCCTAAGTACTGGGCGCAAAACCTCTCAATGTCTCCATTCCCATTTCCATTTCCATTGCATGCATCGGTTTCGATCTTCACAAGATCTTCATCCCAGTCCCTCAAGAAACCATCCCAGGTCTCAATGTTTGCAGCAGAAACAGCATCCAGTATCTCTTGCAGCCCCACAATCTTGCGGCTCACATTCCTCCTCAGATCCCTGACTGCTGGATCGACTCCGGGAACAGAGTCTAATCTAAGCAATAATCCCATCAAATCTTCGTTCATCCTAATCCTCTCTCGCTCATTGCTCCTCACCGCATCAACTGTATCCTGCCATCCATATCTTCTTTTCTCAAGTATTTTTACGGATCATTTCATAAAATAAAATAATTATATCAACTCTTGTCTTGTAGACCTTTTGATATAGTTTTTATATATTTAAATCTTACAGGAAAACACTTTTTAGTTCCACACCAATTTTCACATAAATTGAATTGAAGATGGATTTGGTCAAACACTCTAAACAGTAAACACAATCGACATTTTTTCTGTCAAAATATTCAGGTCTCTTCTTCAATGAACTAAGATAAGTAGTACTCCCTCCGTTGATAAATTAAAATGAGTTGATAAACGAATACTCCTGTTCATACATATTTGTCTAATATGACTTTCTTGACAAATTAAGAATCTAATGAATATAGACATGAAGGTTGTTCACATTCACTCAAAAACTAATACTCCGTACATCTAAAATGTCATAATAGAGTAATAGACAGTCATTTAAGAATGAGAGGAGTATGCATCATCTAGCCCATTGAAATGAATTGAACGGAATACTCGTTTCTTTTTCTTGAAGTGAGTCTATAAGCTTCTCAAATGTTAGAGATAACTCACAAGTGAAAGTGAAAGAGAAAATCTTTTGTTATGCATATTATCAGTTATAACAGCCTGAAATATTTAAAGCTTCACTAAAACAAACTCTCTTAAACAAGGGTAATGCTACTTTAATCCAATGATACCATTGTTCCCACCATCAATGTTTTTATACCTATTGCCAAATAATCCCAAAACATAATGCAGAGTTGTAGTCCAAATATTTAAGTAGATTTCTTTGCATACAAATATTTGGCCATGACTGAGTTTCGTTTCTGCTTCCGCAACAGATGCCCTTTCATTTAGCACTAAGTTTAGTGCATTGAAATTAAATAAAGGCAGAAGTGAATACAATAAGGGTCAATTTGGTACACGGAATTGATTTGAATGAAATTGAATTCTCAATTCCAATTTATTTCTGGCATTGCCAATTCCAAATCCACTTATATTTGTGCTACCAAACACCAGAATTGGAATTGTTGTCTCCAATTCTAATTTCATAGTTTCAATTCCATGTATCAAACGGAGGCTAAGGCCCCATTTGGTACATGGAATTCAAACTATAGAATTGGAATTGGGGACTTCAATTCTAATTCTGGTGTTTGGTAGCACAAAATTATGTGGATTTGGAACTGATAATGCAAAAAATGAATTTAAAATTGATAAAATTCAATTCTATGGAATTGAATCCCATGGAATTACAATTCCAATTCAATCCCAATTCCACCAATTCCTTATACCAAACGGACCCTAACTGAAATTTGGAAATTACAAAAGAGGGGAGTGCGAATTACGTGCCTGCCGTTGAATGACGCATTGTAGATAGGCGGCTTCGTGATAGACGGCTGAGATCTTCCTGACGAGCATGCGGACCACGTGAGATCGGTAAGCGGACTGTATCTTAACAGCTGCGGCGGCGATTTCATTGGATGCGGTGGTTGCTGCAGTGGTTCGTTCCTGCTCTTGATCATCATCTGACGGGGACTGGATGGGAACTCGGAAGGANTCTCTCGGAACGGGGGGCAGAGTGTTCATTTCGGAATGTTTGAGCACAGCCTGTCATCGGAAAGAAAATAATGCTGCAGCGGCGGGGGTAGTGGTTGCGGGCGGCGGGGGTAGGGGTTGCGGGCGGGGGCGAGATCGACGGTAAAGAGAAAGTAACTAGGGGACTCAGGTGAGGGAATAATAGAGCAACTAGAGGTTAAAGAGGGTATGATTTGTGGGGTCCAAGTTCGCGCGTACTGCGGGAACGACGTCGTTAGAGGCTGCACCATGAGGCTTTTACTTTATGTGGGCCACTGGGCCTCAACCAGCGACAAGTATTGGCCATTGGCTCAAACAGATTAATTAGCGGATTCGATTCGGATTTTACATTAAAATTTATCCCGTACTAAAATTTCCCAATTTCAAAATCAGTCTGATATAAAATGTTTTTTGTTTGTCCAAGCCCGCCATACAAATGTTTTAACTAGATCTACTAAAAATTAACAAACTCGAATTGAGCTGCTCAAAACAAGTCAAATTTTACACAATTTGAACCTAATCTAATATAAAAGTTTTTGAAATTATGTACTTACTTATTCCTTTAATCCCCAAAAAGATTAACAAAATTTGATTTTTTTGGGTAACATTAAGCAAACATTGGCCATAAATTAAACATAGTTGTAAATGATTAAATGTTACTATCTCCGTCCCGAAGTATCTATCTAATTTTAACTTTTCATTCAACTGTTTTCAACCTTTGAGCTATAATTAAATAAAATATATATTGTATATTAATTTGATAAAATAATATTTTTAAAATATTTTATACAATAAATAAAATAAAATTATTTTTGTATCAATGTCTAATTTTAGTTTTATTTAATTTGAAGTCAAAACTTATCAATTTTGACTGAAAAAAGTCAAAAGTAAACAAATACTCTGAGACGGAGGGAGTATAAAAATTTAATACATCAAGACTATATTTTAAAATGAATCCAATTTTACTAAATTCATACAGTACTATACTCGCGACTGAATATACTTTTCCATAAGTTATAATTTTACATAGTTTGACTAAAAAGTCAAACTGTGATAATCTTTTTAAAATTATGGGAAAATGAGAAATAATTTATTAAAAATAAAATTATATTTTTATTTTTTCCTCGCTACTCTTTTTCAGTGCATAAACATCTATTTTTAAACAAATTTTTAATAGTATCCTATAGTTATCTTACTCTTTAAACAAAAAATCATGCTCAATATGTGATTCATATTTTATTTGTTATTATTATTCATAATGATTATATCTATAAAATGATTTAAAATTAAAAATATATATTAAAATGTTTAATATATGTATTTTGATATTTAATTATTTATAGTGCAAAATGCAAGTACTCATATAAATTTTAATGCTATATTATAAAAATAAATTTCATAACGTGTTAGATCCCAACTAACTCATGAACATGTACTTTGCAGTCTACAATTCTCAACCCAAATTCAAACTTACCCAAATCCTAAGTAACTAAACTTGAACACAAAATGACCGAGCAATTTGCGAGCTCTAGTAATAACAAAGGTCTAATCCGAGGTGGTCCTATTAATATTTATTAACTTTCATAGTGCATGTTATTCAGAAGAAAATAAATTAAACTCCGCAAACTCAAGTGAAGAAAGAAAGTGCAACTTGTTCACAACTCAGCGAGATTTTTGGTTTTTTCAAAGTTCGAAATTTGGGGCATTATTTTTTGACCAAGCCCAATAAAGCCTAGCGTATGCCTAACTCCAATCATGATAAAGCCTGAAGACAGGTAACCCCTCATGGGTGACTTTTGCCCAAACACTCGAAAAAATTGACTGTGTGGTATGAGTCACTCATATGGGGTTACCCTAGCACGATCCTTTGGGGGGTCCCTATACTCCTTCCAGGAGCAACCCTATGAATTGGAGTATTACAAAATAGAAATAGAAGGGAAAGTTTTCCGCCATGGATCAATCAAATTTTACATTCGGATTAACCAACCAATAAAAAGATTACAAATTTTGGAACAAGCCAGCATTGAGTCAGTGTGTCTCAATGAGGTGATGGAATGATCTTTCCAGAGCATGCACCAAAACCTATCTTGTACCCATCTCCCTGTTATTAGAAACAAGACCGGAAAAAAATGAAACTCCACGCAATAGTTTCAACTACGCGCTACCCGATTGTTTAAATGGAGGAGGGAATGTGGGATTAGCTACATTATGTAATTAGAAGGGGAAAAAGGAATAGGTAATTGGCTGATTTTGATTAATAGAAAAACTATTACGAGTATGTGCTACCTATGTCCCCAAAAAATAACGACTCCAACCTTATCAATGGGCGAAAATTGTGTGCTACCTGTCCCAAAAATCGAGTCTTGTTTCTAATACTGAAATTATGCCTCGAAAGAATAATGAGATTGGTAATATGAATTTCAGTATTACAAGCATGACTCTACATCTCATGTAGGGTAAGGTCTGCATACACTCACCCTACCCAAACCCCACTCTGTGGAATTTTAGTGGGTGTGTTGTTGTATTACAAATGTGATTTTTTTAATGGAGTATAAAATATGGAGTAATAAAGTAAAAGAATTGGAACCTTGCAGTAGCCAGTGAGAATGACTTCATCCCCGTCTTCTAAGAACGTTCGAGTCACTCCAGCCAAAGACAATGGTTTTTGTCCATTCCAAGTTAACTCTAACAAGCAGCCAAGGGATTCCGGTTCCTGCATTAATCACACGATCATCGAGTCAAAAAAAGTTAAGAGCCCATTTGGTAAGGCCTAAAATGGATCAAAATAGCCGCATCTTCTCAAATTACTAAAGTTCTGGCTGATAGAGCTGAACTGGCAGAATCTGCTAAAAGCACCAATTCAGCTACACAGTCAAAAATTTAGTGTTTGTATTTGGTAAAAAAATCTGGCAGATAAGTCTAAAATACTGAAAATAATGGCTACGATCGGTCACCAAAAGTTCATTAAAGTGAATCACACTACCACCATGTCAAGTAAAATTGCTTACAGGTCCACTGATAGTCCCTGATCCTAGAAGATCACCGGGCCTTAGATTGCAACCATTGACAGTATGGTGTGCAAGTTGTTGTGTTATTGTCCAATATCTGTACCATAAAGAAAAGCAAATCAGAAAAGTAAAAAAAGGTAGCACCAACAATCCATAGGAGTAAGATTGACACTAATTTGTGGGGGTCATTTGGTTGGAACATGATATATATACTACTTAATCACTAATAATTTTGATGTTGACGAAGCAATGGGATATTTTACATATTTATCTCAACATTTTATCCCTAACAACTAAACAATTAAATTGACATTCCTTCTGTATTCCTCACATATTATTTTCCCAAGTATCCATTACGCCATATACCTCCCTAGAGTTCCTTCTCAAACGATCTGTTATAGTGTATGTCAGTTAATAATCTGAAATTAGTAAACACTATATAAACTCAGAAGAGGCAAGGTGAGAAAGCTTTAAACTGAAATACCCGTTGTGCCGCAAATAAAGAATAAATAATTAAATGATATTCCAACACTGCCATCATCATAGTTTTTTCTACTAGCATGGAAATTATGGAATGGACAAATGGCAATGAGTTGAGATGGTTTCCGTATTCATGGAACATGGCTGTTAAGATTGACTAGGGAATGTAGATCTATGACGACCAATCTATCATGCAACATTTGTGAAACTGAACTGCACTCCTTTGGATACTTCTAGGGAAAAAACACTTTTAGGCTTATAGAGCACTCTGATGTTCTGAATTACAATGAAAGTTCATCTGTTTAAAGCCAAATAACTTTTCAAGTTTGGAAACCACTGGAAGACATGATTAACTTTTCTGCCTCAACTAAAAGTGTGTGTTTGTGTGTGTGAAGACATCATAAATGAAATTAGAGAAGCAATTTTTGAAACCGAAATACCAAATTACCCTTTTGTGAAAAAACAAGAAAATGTATAATATGGAGTATATTTTTTGAAAGACAAGAAAGTGTCTAATATAGTAGAAAGGAGAGTCAAAACAGGTTAGAAATAAAAAAAATTATTACCCATTACCATGACATTGTTTGGTTAAACATTAAATTTATAAAAGCAGAGTGGTTAAATGCACTTTACTATATAAATCTAAATGATAAGTACACGTGTTCAGAAAGTAAGGCCTTAATGAAGTTATTTTAAAATTTCTAAGGATATTTGTAATTTTAACTACATAATATAACCAATTATTGAAAGAAATGGGGATCAAACTACTTACAAGTGCTTGAAGTTGCTTTTTGTGACTGTACATGAATCTTCTTTCCCAGCAAGTTTAATGAGAACCTTGCACAATAAAAAATGGATGACAATTCTTAAATTGAATAGGATACTCCATGTTCTCTTTTGCCAAACAATCAGGTTTAGTACTTCAGTAAAAGAGTCTCAAGAAAGAAGTTTTTTTACTGTGTTCCATATCCCCAACAAACAAACAATACATTAAATTCGTTCTTCCCATATCATATGGAAAGGAAACATAACCATAATATGGAACAGAGAGTTAAGAGTACCTCCAAAGAAATGTCATAGTTTTTGGATATCTTTTCTGCGAGATATGGCAAAGGAGGAGGGTCCTGTAAAAATATTAAAAAAACAGCTCTCAATCTAGTAGCCTCTCCTGGTACTGCTTTCTATTCTCTATGCTCTAAGGGCCCCTTTAGAACCTAGAAAGTATTACTCCGGAGTGGGAAGAAAAAGGACGGGAAAAGAGAGGAGAATTGGTACGGAAAATAATTTAGGGGAAATAAAAGCTAAGCTCAAACTCAATAAGTTATATTTGATCAAACTCTTTTTATTATATATAAAGGCTAATAAATCTAATTACACGTAAAAATGAATAATCATATTCCATTTTCCTTATGTATTTTCCAAGGTAAAACAAGATCTAAGAAATTATATTTCATTGTCATATTTTTCTTTACCCCATAATTTTCTTAGATCCAAACATATACTAACGGAAATGAAGAAATTGAGCTACCTGGTTTGGAACATCACATGAAAAGGGTTCTAGAGCATCTAAGGTCACAATCCAAGGTGACAATGTAGTTCCTGAGACAACCCCGAATTGAACTACATATACTTCAGTAAAACTGAGAGAGAGCGAAGATCCAAAAACAGAAACAAAAAAATCCATATTTGTTACCAAAACTTTTTCCAAGGAAAGGACCAAGAGGCACATATTCCCAAGCTTGGATATCTCTCGCTGTTGACACCAGGTTTATATGAGGGTGTCACTTAGAAATAAGGATTGAAAAACTTGTCAAAAGGAAAATAAGTTGAATTAGATTAAGTATACCGCTCCAGTCATTCATTAATACAAGACCAAAAATATGGTTCTTGGCATCTTCAATGCTCACAGGCTTCCCTAGCTCATTTCCAGGGCCAACTACAGCAGCCTATAAGTAATAATAGGCAAATTAAAAAATGAAATTATAAAGTTGTTCCCCAAGGAGGAGGAAACATAGCATGGAGTAATTTAACGATGATAACAACAATGATGATGGTGGTGATAGTAGTAGTAGTAGTAGTAATAGTAGTAGTAGTAGTAGTGAAGGTAGTGATGATAATAAAATAAGTGAAATTTGCACTAAATAGTACTAAAACATATGTCATTTTCCAATGTAGTACTTAAACTTTTTTATTCCCTAAATAGTACTTGAATAATGTCTAGTTGCGAGAACAATGTCCAGTGATAGTGGACATTTAGTTTGAACAATGTCCAGTGGCGGTGGACATTTACTTGAACAATGACCAATGGACAATGACCAGTGGTACTAGGAAATAAAAATATATGGTACTACATTGGGAAAGTCACTATGTTTTAGTACTATTTAGGTAAATTTTCCTAATAATAATAAGAACAAGAACAATAATATTAACAAAGTAATAATAATAATTTTGATCTAACAGGTAGAACTGTTATAGCTCCAGTGATGAAATCACCATTTCCAGCTCAAAGTCTAGCTTCCGGGAAGGTCCAAAATATGGCGCAGAGTCACCTGTTGGATAAGCTTGACCCCTGGATCAAATGATATATTAGAGTAAGAATAAAAGCTGCATTATTTCTGTCATTCAAAAAGATATAAATGAATAATAGCATGTACAAATAACAGTAAGCAACTTATAAAAAAAGTTAGCAAAACTGAGATAAAGCCATAAAGGAAATAGGAAAATACAACATGTCATAGTTTATAATAAATATATGTCTAGACCATTTCTCAAACCAATTTAACTGAAAATATAATTGAGAACTAACATTTATTCATTTAGAGAAGAACTAGGTTTACACACAAAATGGCAATCTTGATAGACTGATAGTACTTGTCCCGAATTCCATGTTTGAACATTAAAATGCAAAGCTCTTAACTGAAGTGAAGGGAAAACTATCATGTGTTTCACCTTGGTCTAGTAATATCAGTGCCAGAGACGACAATTGATGACGCCCTCCCATGATACGCAATAGGAAGATGGAACCTGGAAATGATCAATTGATTGGCCATCTCACATAAGCAAGCTAGAAAATAATATGAATGCATACCAGCAACATTATTTCATTTTAGAAAACACTAAATTCAATATACACATAAGCAAACTATCATTGTATGCCATAGCCTTCGCCCTTCGGTGTTCAGAAAGGCAGTTTGTGGAAAATATGATTAATAAAGGGGCCTGTTTTTAATTTTCAAACATATTAAGGGCCCTTTGGCAGTTAAGCCAAACCACATGCAAAATAGATGTAATTATCCCCTAATCAGCATATGCTCCACCTAACCCTACCCATCACCTAGCACATTATAGAACATTTTCATCCAATATTGTCCTTAGTTCTTATCTAACTAGTTGCATACATGTCATTCTAAAAACTACTCAAGGGTATGTCATATTTGCATACCAATTACGGTTGATTGGGGTCTCCGGACCTCGGAATATGGCTCCACAGTTCTTTGCATGATGCATGGAAGAAAAGAAGTCTGTGTAGTCTCCAATTGCTACAGGTAGCAGCATTTCTACCTTGCCCTAAAAACACAAAGTCGCCAACATAAATAAACCGACAAAACCTTCTTCATCATACATCTGACATCATTAGTAGAATGGTACGTCAACCATCTGAAATAAGTCTAACCATGGGTATAAGAGCTTTCTGCCTTAAACTTGCATTGTCACGCAACTGTGGCTCAGTAGCTGCCCAATAACATAGCACAATATCCAAAATATTAAATATATAAAACATGAGATGAAATTCCAAAATCATCATCACATGTTTCTACTCGTGCGGAATCAAGACACAATACAAAATGAGATAGTTATTCTACGTTAATATGCATGTGGGTATGCATGTGTACAGTCAAAGTGGAGTCCATTTATAACTGATTAACTATAGAGTCGAACACTATTCGAACTATGGATTAAAAAAATGGATCAACCAACTATCTCGTTCAACTCATGGCATTGTAAACTTAATCTTTATCTTGTGTTTTCCCGGTGTGAGACTCCTTTACACGGTAGTCATACCTCATTGCAAAATCAATATTGCAGAACATCATGCTACATTAATATTTCTTTCTCTTTTGATGAAAAAAAAAACTAGTACCTGATAGTAGCCTTTGCAAGGTTTCACGAGCTTCCTTCCATGCAGACCGTCCCAATTGCAAAAAATTGTTAAGATTAGGCTGCAGGACAACATAAACAGATCATGTACAGACTTTTATCAGCTGATCACACTGCCACCGTCTCTATTCAAGCACAAGTTCCACTGGTTCACTAAATTTTATTGCATAATATTACATCCAAGCAATATATTTAGCTTCCACGGGAGAATACAACTTGAAATTGACATCATAAAGTGGTAGACGCAAACTTTTCCTTCCCTAAATTGCTTGAAATGCAATATTGAATCATCGATTTCGAATTTCAAACAGTTTTTCCAATCATTTTTGAACACTGAGTTCGAGCATAAAAATATAACAATCCGTGCAAAACAAAAGAGATAGATAGACCTGATTGAAGCAGTCGGAACTCTTCAAACACGGGCCATCAAACAAACCGGCGGAGGCGATCACGGAAAGGTCCAAAACGTAGTCTCCGATGGCGACGCCGGGCCGAGCGAGTGAGCCGGGCTCGGGCTTGAATACGCCGAACGGGAGGTTCTGGAGCGGGAAGTGAGAGTCGGGATTGACTTCGACGAACGATTTCAGGGCCATGATACGACGCCGTGAAGCGTTCAGGTGTGCCGTCGGCGAGGCAGCTGAGCGGCGGTGGAGCAATAACGAGGGGAGTGTTTGGTAGATATAGCGGTGGAGCAATAATGAAGGCGGGAGACTGGAAGAAGTGGATCACTCTCTTTTCCTTCTTAGCCACTCCGCCCCTTTTTACTCCGTACTTGGCGTTTACCAATATTAACCCTCCTACCAAACTTTTTTTTGAATTGGGTTTGGCGAGTAAAAAAAAAGAATTCTCATATTTTCAAGGAAAAATTATTCGAAATAATATCAATTTATCTGATCTTTCAAAAATAATTTTATCTTTCATTATGATATATAATAATCCCAATTTTATTGAAATTTTTGAGTTTTGGGTCGTTGTTAAGTTTTTAACGAAGGGTTAACGAAAATGTCTGTTTTGCGTAACAAAATGAAAGTTGAGATTATTTTTGATGAATTTTTGTTTTATTTTTAATTTATTTGAAATTTTCATTTAAATTTTTGAAATTACTTTCTACCTCCATTTCTTTTTATTTTTTAAATATTATTCTTACCTTTAAAAAAAATAAAAAAATAGATACAAAAACAATGAAAATGAGAAAAATAACTAAAACCATACAAAATTAATGAAATAAATAATGTAATCAATAGAAATTAAACTGAAAGTCGTAAGAAATAAAATAAACATATGTGGAGTGGTGGGTTTTAACATTTTACACACTATACGGAGTCTTAATTTACCGAACAAGCCGTCAGGCAATGTTGGAATTATTCTAGATATATTTTTTTCTAAAAAATAAGAAGTGATACGCTAATACTTTGTATAGTACGTAAAATGTTAAAACCCACCACTCCGTATATTTTTATTTTACTTATTACCAATTTCAAGTTAGTTTCTATTGATTACCTTGTTTATTTTATTATTTTGTACTCCGTATCATTTTAGTTACATTTCTCATTTTTTTATTTTTTTTATACATATTATATTTATTGTTATAAACCAAGACTGATCTTTAAAAAAGGAAAAATATGATGGAAGTAGAAAGTAATTTTAAAAATTAAAATGAAAATTTCAAAAAATAAAAATTCGTCAAAAATAATTTCAACTTTCATTTTGTTGCGCAAAACAGGCATTTCTGTTAACCAGTCATTGGAAACTTAACAGCGACCTAAAACTCGCAAATTTCAGTAAAGTTCGGATTATTATGCATCACACTGAAAGTTGAGATTCTTTTTTAAAGACCAGGTAGAGTTGGGACTATTTTGGATAAAATTTCTTATTTTCAAATATTAGATTTTTTTTATAAAATTTAAAAAAAAGTCGAATTCGATATCTCTAGCTATTACAAATTTTTAAATTGACAGGTTTTGATATTTTCTCAAATAGCTCCCTCAAATGTCAATCATCCCTGTTGCAAGCCACATTTGTTTATCACTAATTAAATTATGATTTTAAATAATTTCAATCAACTTCATTTAAAATTTCAAAATGTACACCAATTTTTTCATATTTAAAACCTTGTATCATATATTTTATACTCACCAAACACACATTTAATGAGTTGGTTAGTTTTGAACAATTAATGCCCCTTTGCTCTCGTAACCTTGTTCCACAATACATTTTAAATTCGTACCAAAAGACTATTTAAGATCAGTTTGCACTCTGGTCTTTTGGTACAAAAAGTAGGCATAAATGGGTGATCGAGTAATGAATGGTCAATGTGACATTTTTCTCATGGCTGAAATGAGAAAAATGACGACAAACCCAAAATTCTCATCCAAATCCACAAAGCATGCAACTCTTTATTTATCAACAAATAATAATAATAATAATAATAATAATAATAATAATAATAATAATAATCCCTCTGTCCCAAATAAAATTGTCTATTTACTATTCACAAGGTCAAAAACTTTATTCACTTTCTTTTTTTATTTTTTAGTCATTTGATTAAATAATATAATTTTGTCACTACTAATTTGTAGATCTTTTAATATAGTTTTTAAATATGTAATTTTTATTTTTTTAGTTCTAAACCATTTTTCGTATAAGATGATTTGGAAATAATTTCACTTAGACATCATAAACCGAAATAGACAATTTAAATTGTGAGGGAGAGAGTAATAAAATAAAGGATGTGCCTCATCCTTCACTCTGTACCATTTAGCCCATCTGAACTTCATTTTTTCCTATCACTTCTTATCCCCTTTTACGGGTATGGATCATGCCCCCGTCCATCCGTTTCCATTTTTTTCTCTTATACGAGTACTTTAATTTTCCCCCATGAATTTGAATTACTTACAATGAAAACATTATATAAACATTTCGCTAAAATTAAAATTACATTGACATAATGCGGTAGAAAAATTGGCGGAATAAAAAAGGTATAATTATTTAAAAGGTACAAAAAAGATTATTCATCATCCATGAGTGTAGCGAAAATCCACGAATGCTCAGTATTAATCCGGAAAAAGTACTTATTAATCGTTAAAAAGTAAAAATAACTAAATAAGTTGTCAAAATGAAAATTAGTTGAATTAGATTAAGCATACTGGTGCAATCATTAATTAATACAAGTCCAAAAATATGGTTCTTAACATCTTCAATTCTCGGAGACTTCTCAAGCTCATTTCCACTACTAGCTACAACAGCGTACAAGTAATAATAGGCAAATTAGAAAATGAAATTGTGAAGTTGTTCTCCAAGGAGGGGAAACATAATCCAGAGTAATTTAAGGATGATGATGGTGATGATAGTAGTAGTACTAATTGTAGTAATACTTGTGATTATAATATATTATGTAATACAAAGTAATTCTCAATTATGTAGTACTTATTAACTGTCAAACTTTGATTTTTTGTAATCAATTATTTTCAATCGTTGACCTATAATTAACTAAAATATACTCCCTCTGTTCCATAAATCCTTCCTCTTTTGTTTTTTTCCAATTCCTTAAAACAGTTCCACTTTTTATTAAAATACCACTTTTACTCTTATTTTTTCATACCATACCTATCACGTCATACTTTTTCACTAATAGCCAAACTATCACATCTTATTTTTACCCCATCACATCAAGAAAAAAATTGGAAAGTCAGCCAAACTTACACTTTCTTTATTTTGGCCTAGAGTCAAAATAAGAATGATTTTAAGGAACGGAGGGAGTATATTGTATATTAAATAGATAAAGGCCTTGTTTGGATACTAGCAGTTGGCAGTTGGCTGTTGGCTGTTTATGTTAGCTGATTTGAATAACTGATTGAGTTAGCTGTTTTGACCGGCTGTTTCTGTTAGCAGTTAAATTTTAAGTGTTTGGCAACTTTAGCTGTTTATAGTTAGCTGTTTGTAAATAAAATTACATAAAAGGACATCCCTCCAATTATGGTATATTTTATTTTACAATTTTTTTAAATATCATATCATAAATATATTTTTTTAAAATTAAAAAAATTAAATAAATATATATATATATATATGTATGTATGTATGTATGTATGTATGTATGTATGTATGTATGTATGTATGTATGTATGTATATGTGTGTGTGTGTGTGTGTGTGTATAGACATGATATTTATTTTTCATTTTTTTACATGTAAAAATTAAATCTTTAATATATGGATTATTAAATTTTAATTTCATTTAATTCATAATAAATTATAAATATAAATTTTTTAATGAATTATAAATATTTTTTTTTAATTTCATTTTATTTTTTCGTATTTAATTTTTTTAACTTTTATTTTTATTTTTTTACATATATTATAAAATATCTTTCAACAAAAATGATTTTAAAAAAAATATTTTTCCTAACCGCCAAGTCCAAATGCTACTCACCTTGGCATTTCAGATTTTGGCTTTTCGGATCAAAATGCCAAGTGAAAAAGCCATTAGCCAAACAATGGTTTTGGCGGTTCGCTCGGTCAAAAAAGCCAAAGTCAGTCAAAGATGTCAAAAGCTATCTCAAATGCTGTTTTCCAAACACGGCCAAAATAATATTTCGAAAATATTTATAAAATGAATCTAATAAAATTATTTTTTATAAGTATTAATTTTATTTAATTTATGGTCAAATTTTTTAATTTTATCAAACCAGACTTACACAAAGCCCGGATGCTTTTGGAAACGGCGTCGCAGGGTTAAGATCTACTCCGTAGCTCTATATATACCGCACCCCCCTTCTTTGGGTTATCTGAAAAGCTTTTGGACTTGGCCTTCAAAGACCTTGGAATCTGATCGTCCGAGATTTTGCATGTAATAATGCATAATCCCAAACTGAACCTAATTAATTTCAGGATTCCTTTGATAAATTCAATTGTCGTCAGTAAATCCATACTGATATGATGAATTGTGCAGAGAAATCTCCTCAGAACGGCAAAATGTCTGCGGATTTGGTTCTGAAGCCGACGTGCAGCGGCTGCGGATCGCCGTCGGAGCTGTACGGAACCACCTGCAAGCATTTGACTCTCTGTGTGTCGTGTGGCAAAACCATGGCCCAGAACCACGGCACCTGCAACAAGTGCGGCGCTCCGATCACGCGCTTGATTAGGGTTCGCCCTCCTTTGCAGAAATTTGTCTTCTCATATTAATCTGATGAGCGTTGCTTGTTAGGTTTTTCCAGGTGTATACTAGAATTACTGATTGTTTGATTTTGTGGGCACATGCTTTTGATGAGTCCTGAAGTACCTGCTTCAATTGATTCGAACACTATAAGCAGATAATTCATTGTTAAGGAATATCAAGTAGTCCCTGTCAAAGTTTCATGGAGGCATTTGGATTTGGGGAAACACCAACTTTTCAAAATTTTCCATAGCTTTCGTGTTTCACAGGCAACCGAATTGTGAGGTTTCAGGGATGGGAATCCGGGCTTACTTGAAGAGTGTGAGCAACATAGGTCTATGTAGTACTAGAACAAACTTATGCTCCCTCGGGTCCTTTACAGTTAATCGTCATTTAGAAGAAGTTGATGGACCTTGTTACAAGTCTTTCACAATCACAATAAAACATTTAATGTTCGTGTTCCTTTTTGCCATTGTTAAAGATGAGAGGATATGTAGAGAGGTGCTCTATGAATGATTACTATGGAGGATAAAATAGGTAGAGACTACTAGAGTGGCACAATTTAGATTGCACTAATGATCATTATTATTAGCCTGTATGTTTTCGTCTCAAGTGATTTATAAGTCCTAAAACGAAATGATGATTTTTTGAGATTTGTTTTATGACTATAGGTATTGAAGTCTATATATCATAAAGGCATTATGGTTATGCCATCAGAGATTTTAACTTATTTTTTTGCTTGTGCCATATAACAAACTTTTAATTAATTTTTCTGACTATCTAATGTGTTTTCATTCACTTTGAGTTATTTTAAAAGAATGATATATTCTCCATACATAGAGTTACTTTATTTCATCCCTAATTTCATGTTTGTGTACTATACCCGGCGTATATTTATTTACTTACCTGCTTTCGGTTCAGATGCAATTATTTTCCTCTCAATATTCATAAGCCAATTCTCCGCATTGAATTGTGGCATGAATAGGAATACAATGTTAGAGCATGCTCTACCAACGAAAAGAATTACTTCATCGGGAGATTTGCTACGGGGTTACCAAATTTTTCAAAGAAGAGGAGTGAGAACAAGTGGTGTCTGCAGAAAGAAGGTCTGCAAGGACGCCAAGTAACTGATGCTTTGCGGGTAAAATGTTTTCCCTGAACTGTTCTTTATTTGCCCCATTTCATTTTTTGCGTTAATATTTAATAGTTTCATAGTTACTTGGTGTCTAACAGGGATATAGTGCTCGAGATAATTAATACTTCATTGTGTGGGTTGTCTTTGTACCTTTCATTTGGAAACTGGAACCAATGCATTGTCTATATTCTTATGCATTTGAATGTGAAGTTCCAGACTTGTGACTTGTAAAAACATGTCCAACTTGAAAGGTGACTTTGAACTGAACTAAATCGTACTAAACTGAACTGAAGATATTGTAGTGTGATTTTGATCTAAGCAGTGTTAACTACTAAATGGAATGGCACTGAACTGAACAGTACTTAAATTAGGTCCAGCTAAACGACCTCTAAGAGAGCGTAATTAAGTTCTTATTAAAGCATTATCCTCACGCATTTAAAGGGAAATACCCATGACATATAATGGTCCAAATAGCTACGAAACCTCTGGACCAAAAGGCTGAATCATTTTTATGAAGTTGAGTCAGTTGAAGAAGAAAGTTTGATTATCATTGTAATGTCTGAGTCTATGAGATTTATTTAATACTCCCTTTGCTCCGAAAACTCTGAAAAGATAGTAACAAATTGACCTCACAGAGTTTCATTGGAATTTGTTTATAAGAAAGACGAAAGTTGTGAGCCACATATTCTTCTTGTTTTTTTTGAAATAGAGCCACATATTCTTTAATTTAACTGGGAAGTAAAGAGGTGTGAAGTTCAATTTGGGACATCCCAAATAAGTAAGCGTTGCTTTCTTTTCGGGGCGGATGGAGTATTTAGGTTCGGCAGTTGGATGAGAAACTCAGAAAAAATCATTCCAATATATATCTTGGACAAATTGTACAGTGAAGAACTAGATACACACGCATACATGTTGCTTTTACCTCTTCCCATTGAGTATAGTAGCTCATTGGAAATTGACTGTGAACATCTGAAACTTTACATCTTTAGATCCCCCTTCCCGCCCACCTACTCCAGTGATTTGGAGGTTTTGAAGGCATATATCTATCCTTCTAAAGTGTTTAGTTTTACCATCAATTGAATACATGTTGCAGGAAAGGTTCAAGAATAAACCCTGGCTATTGGAGGATGAATCAGGGCAGTCTCAGTACCATGGTCAGCCAGAAGGTGCACAATCAGCAACCTACTACCTACTAATGTTGCAGGGTAGAGAGTTTGTTGCCATTCCTGCTGGTTCCTGGTATTCCTGATTTGATTTTTATGTTATGTTATCAATATCTAATTTATGATACAAAACACTATTATATACTGTTAAATAAACTTGGTTGCAATCTTAGGTACAACTTCAACAAAGTGGCACAATACAAGCAGCTTACCCTGGAAGAAGCCGAAGAGAAGATGAATAACCGAAGGAAAACTGCTGATGGGTACCAAAGATGGATGATGAAAGCAGCAAATAATGGACCTGCTGCTTTTGGAGAAGCTGGAAAGTTCGATGACAAGGAAGGTGGTGGTGGTGGTGGTGGTGGTGGTGGGAGGGCTAGGAGGAAATCTGGTGATGATGAGGGCAATGCCTCAGACCAAGGAGAAGAAGAAGAAGACGATAATATGGACAGGAAACATAGACCAGGACGCAACAAAAAAGGTGGTGATGATGATGAAGAGGGACCCCGAGGTGGTGATCTTGATGATGAAGATGATATTGAAAAAGGTTGACATCTTGTTTGAATAAGTAGACTTCTTATTTAGATCTACTATCAAGTTGATAATTTCTAGACACTAAATTTTATGTGCATATGTGCATATGTCTAACAGGCTAAATTTTATGTGCATATGTGCATCTTGTGATAATTTTATAATGCTCATATAAGAAAATAATAAGTACATATGTCTAACTGGCTAAATTTTCAGGAGTTTTACTCTATTAAACCTTGATTTTTATTCCTGTACTCTAATGTTCCCCTTCCAGTGGATCATACTGAAGTCAAATCTTAGATACTGAAAAGCCGGAAATTTGAACTAATAGGCTAAACTTTCATGTTATTTTAGTAGGTTGGTGTTGTTTTTTTGGGAAGGGGGGGGGGAGTAGGTGGATTTGTTAACTTAATAAAATTATACTCCGTATACGTTAAGGGTTATAAATATTTGAATAGGACATTGGGCAATCAATAACATTTAAGACAAGTAGACAACACATGGAATGTTACCGGACCAGGATGAAAGATTTCCTTTGTTGTAGTAGTAGTAGTATCTATATGTTCTTTATATTGAAAGCTATAGAGTTAAACCTCTCTTTTCATAAAATGAAAAATTACCACCTCTCTCCAAAAAAACACTTGCAAACATACCCTAAAGTTTCCAACTTAAAGTTTCTACTTATATTAACAGTTTCATAGCTGATATCCTTGTGAACTTCTCTTCTTAGTTGTGTGGATCATAATAACTGTATAAAATTGTCCTTGCTGGACTCCCTAGGTTATGCACATTAATTGCACAATGAATTCCGATAGATACCTTCGCTACCTTATTTACCCTTTATACATCAGTCCCTCCGTCCTTCCCTCTTTGAATATGGGATGTTTAATGTTTTGGAGTTAATGTGTTACATTCTTTCTGTATCTTTCCCTGTATATTATTTTTTTAAAATTATCAATTTCATGCTATCACTGGATGTTTTAGATTCCTTCATGCACGGTGTTACTAGTATCTAGTTACTACTCTAAAGTTATTTTATGTACAATTTCATGTTGTTGTATGTATAACTTCATGTTGTGAAGTCTTTCTTTCCCTTACATTATTTGATAGGTGATGATTGGGAGCATGAAGAAATTTTTACAGATGATGATGAAGCTCCAGGAAATGACCCTGAGGAAAGGGAAGATCTGGCTCCTGAAATCCCTGTCCCTCCGGAAATTAAGCAGGTTTGTTGTGCAGTGTGCCCTTGTTGTGCAGGCCAATTTGGTTGCTCATGATATTGAAGTTAATGGACATTTATCCCTTATTTGATTCAAATGATGGGAGGGGACTAAGAGGAGGAGAAATGGCGAGAGTGATTGGGTGGGTGAGGATGGGAGGGGGAGGGAGGAGGCATGAGAGTATCATACCACACCATCCTATATAATGTTCTTGCATGCTGATGGTATTACTTTTTATAATTATAGAACAACACCAACTTAACATGGCGTCTTGTGGCTGTATGTAAGCGTTACCCATACCTGAAGAAGGGGTAGAGAGGCTGTTTTCTAAAGATCCCAGCTTAGAAGAACTGAAGATCTCAGAAGCAGTTACGAATACAAAGCAAAACAAAGTTAAGGCTAAAACAATACGAGAGGAGTGGGGTAACAAGCAGCATTATAAAAGTAGAAATGTAGACTCACAAAAGAAACACCCCTAAAGTTACATTTAGGACACCCCACAAAACCTAAACTACCCCTAAAACTCGAGTCACATAGAAATCCTGACTAACTTACTATCTTAACCCTCGACTTCCAAGCACTCATCTTTAGGGTAATGTCATTGGTGCATTGTCGAAGCATCATGTCCTACCGAATCAACTCATCCATACTCTTCCTCGGCCTCCCTCTTACTTTCCTTACCCTTCCTATGGCCAATTCCACGGTCATGTTCCATAATTTTCCGTGAAATGATTTACTAATTAATTTAGTGAACTAACTTAAGTGATTGAGACTGTGTGTCTCAGAGTATAAATAAAAATGCACAAAAAGTTGACTAATAGAGTATTGCACAAAAAAGCACTGACTACTTGTAAGCCAAAATGATTAAAAAAAACCACTGAAGCAATTGAGAGGCAATGAAAAAAGTACACGATCGCTCATCAAGTGAGGGTAGTAGTGATCAAAAAGCGTAGAGTTGTAACATGGAAAACAACCTTCAACAGCAATGCACCAGACTCTTTCATCATAATTGTCTGGCAGTGGAGGGGCTCTTGTATCATCATGCATTATGATTTGGCAGCATAACTTATATATCTTTCCTCCTGTTTTAGGATGACGAAGATGAGGAAGAAGCTGATGGGGAAGGAGGATGGGGTTTGAGCGAATCAGGTAAAGAGTTGAAGAAAATCCTTGGGAAAGCTAATGGGATGAATGAATCAGATCCCGAGGACGATGACGACGATGAGGAAGTAAGTTGAAATTCATGTACTATATATCCAAGTAAAGCTATCATCATTGGCTTTTTTTTCAACTTGATCTCATTTCGTATCTTTTGTCTGTACCTTCATCCTTTGGGGGCTAAAATTTTTTAATTACAGGAAGATGATTTCTCATCGCCTGTATTAGCTCCAAAGCCTAAAGTAACTCCTAAAGAAGAACAAGCTGAGGCCAGCAGTCCAGCAAAACCACCTGGTTCGAGCTCCACTCGTGCAAGCTCCTCGACTTCAAAGTCAGCTAAGGGTAAAAGAAAAGCTAATGGGGATGAACCAAAGTCTGCTAATGGTGTTCCTTCTAAAAAAGTGAAGTCCGAAACGGTAATGACATGAACTTAAGGAGTTGGTGGCCAATGCTTACCTTCTTAATTTACGGATGTTAAGGGTCCATTTGGATGGAGGGTTTTGGAGGGGAAGGTATCAAGATATTGGAGGGTTTCGTCTATATTTTGATAAATATAATGTTTTTGAAAACAAATAAATGAAGAATGCGATGTTATACTATCACATAGTATGTTAATCACACACACACGCACAATGCGAGTTTAAATTAATCCCTCCAAAGCCTTCCCCTCTAAAATCTTCAATGGAAGCATACTTTAAATTGGGTCTAATTCACCCCAAGAAATAGTCGACATGAAGTTATGTTTGCCTTGGACTTGAATATTATACTGGAACTTGATATGGGATACCCAGTGAAGGACAGGATGATTACTTTAGTGTGTGATCTGATATATATTTGTGTACCAGGACGTTAAGCCAGTAAAAGGAGTTGTCACACCTGCTGCCAATAATAGCATGCCCAACAATGTATCATCATCGTCTGCAGTGCCACCTGCAAGAACTGCTGTAACACCCGTGACTGAAGATGAAATAAGAGCTGTTCTGCTGCAGCAAAGACCGGTTACCACTTCGGACCTTGTTAGCCGATTTAAATCACGGCTGAAGTCTAAAGAGGTGTGTCATTTTTGAATTCTATCAGCTAATTTTTTCCCCTTCAAATGATTAATTTATTCTTGAAATCTGATCCCGTTAATCTGAAATCTCGCATACATGGACACTAGTGCTCTATGAAGCACTAGGTGGAAGACCGGGGCATAGTGTATGGGCAAAGACGTAATAAGAAAAAAATTGGATCGTCTAGGTTCGATGCACCTCTAGGCTGGGACTTTTATATGATGGGTTAACCCGACTTCACACCTTGACTATATACTACTGTTCCATTAGGTCATCGCCTTTCTTTTGGACTCAATTTGGCCATGAACCGTGCAATTTAGACTATTTTGTATTCCACACATTTCACTATGATGACTAAATTGGATCCAAATTACATTCTGGGGTGGCCAAATTGAGTACAAAGATGAGTCTAAGTGTAGTGACCAAACAAAAACAACTCTTTTTTGAACCAAATATGCATGAAGTTATTAATTTCTCTTATGCATAGCTCAAGTATCAAGACATTGTGTAACTTAATCCCAAGAGAGGCACATACAATTATTTTTTATGCGAAAACATGCAATTCCGCCTTTCATGCAAATCGGGCCTTGTTAAAACTTGAAACAGGACAAGGACACTTTCGCAGCTGTATTGAGAAAAATTTCCAGAATACAAAAGACAGAAACAGCCAATTATGTCGTCTTGCGAGAGAGGTGAAATTTGTTTTTTTTCCTGTGTTTTTTTAAACCTTTTGCATTAAACTGCAGAACCAATAAGCTAATTTTCGAGCTTGTCACTTGACTTTATCTTCTACTTCATTTTATAGGACTAACCAATGAAGACGAAAGAAATAACTGCAACAGAGTTCCGCGAAAGGGTGAAACAATAAACCAACTTTGGCTTTTATTATCAAACATTAAAAAGCAGCAACAGAATCTTGGCTCATTGTCATGCACTGTGATTGCTTATTGTTTCTGTTTGCATTTTCTTATGAAGGAGCAACCCCCCACCCCGCCCCACCCCCACCCCACAACTCTCAACAAGAACAAAAATAATCAAAGGTGATATGCTGCTTTATTTGTGGACTGAACTTCTGTGTGGTTGCAGGGAAGTAAGTTCTTGTTGTGGAATATATTCAACACAATGTTTAACACGTAATTGTATAAAACAAACTACTTCATAGTACTTGTATGGAGTAATTCTTTCGGGAATATGAATTCATATTTTTTTAAAATGCGAATTCATTGTCCACAAATATTTCCCTTGTTGGGGGAAATACATAATGTTGTCAAGAGCGTTTGTTTGCCAGTTTGGATTTATTTGTGCTTGTAGTGTGTATATATATTATTTAATGAAGTTTGTTTGGTTAGATGAAAAATGTGGGTCTTTGGATTGGGAAATTTGCCCAAAGATTTGTTAATTGAATCCAAAGAAGAGTGAACTTGAAAAAACTCATTTAAACGGGTCAAATTTCACTAAACGTGAAACTCACCTGACTGAGAGCGTTGACAGGTAGAAAATGAGCCATTGTGTTATAATAAAATAAAGTCTATTAATTTATTTATTTAACAATAATTAACATTATATTAATAAGAATAATGCCCAGAGCCTACTGTAGTAAGATTCAACTGGGTTGTTGTATACTAATAAGAATAATGAAATATCGAATTCATATTCTTCAAATACAAAGGAAACTTCATTTCTTTGATTTTGGTCCGTAGGAGGCGATAGAGAGGTTTGGAAATTTTTTTTACCGTAGATCTATTTTTTTTACAGAGTAAATTTTAATCCCTCTTCCTAGGCAGTGTTCGGTAGGCTTAGGTTTTATTTTGGTAGGTAGTAAAGCAACATGTAGATATTTATTGCTTTTGCAGTAGGTTTATTTTTTTCGTTTTTTATACAAATAAATAAATATATATAATATTTTATAAATAAAAATTGGGGCCCTTCTAATATTCGGCCCTATACCTATGACCACCTTGCCCCCAGCATTAGCCGGCCCGGGTAATATTCTTGCTTATTTATTCATCTGACCGTCGATAGTAATGTATCAAATATTAGTGAATAATAAACTTTTTATGTTTAAAGTTTTTTTTATTAAAGTATTTACAATACTTAATTTCTGATCGTTATTACACATATAGAAAGAGAGAGGTCGTCAGCGGCTATAACCTTGGATCATCGAACACGTTCGAGAAAGAATATACTCTATGATGTGATAAATGGTATTTTTATTATTCTAAATTAAATATTTAATTTTTCCAATGCTCCGATCCGGGAATAATTACACAATTCTCCATGCTTTTAAGTGCATAAGAGACAGATGGACCTATCTTTGAAGATGATAATAAAACAATTGTCTTTGTGTGTTAACTAACTATATGTATAAGATATTATAAACAATGTAAGAAAGTATTACGTAAATTAATATGGTGGATGCACTCGAGGTTGAACTTTCATCTTCCATGGCAAAAATTTGTAACCTTTAGAGAACAAAAAAACTAAAAGATATTGTCAAAGAAAATGTTGACAAAGCTTCAATGTTTGAAGCTTGGATGATTTCCAATACACAATATAATGTAGGATAAAATTTGATGTATGCAAAGAATTTCCCGATTTTTTTGTGTACAACCATAAAGTGCGGAAATGGTTCCGATGCAACAAAGGTTATCAATAGGCAGACTACAATACGTGCTTACGAAAACCACAGAGTTATACTATTAACTGTCCAACGAGGATGTACAAGTTATTAAAGTTTGAGGAGAGTTAACAATGTTCTACATAGCGTATTTGAGGCAGCATGTGAAACATTGGAGTTATTAACCGATGATAAAGAACTTATTGAAGCTTATAAAAGAGGTTGCTAAGTTAGTATTTAGGAATATGCTAAAATGTTGTTTGTCCACGTACCATGAGTCACCCATTGGTGAATGGAATTTTATTTGATCGATTGAGAATATTGTTGAATCAAGGTGATTGAATATAAAGATATTTTTTTAATGTATTAATCCATCTGAAACACATTATATGAAAACAAAGCTCTTTAATTGAGCACTGCATAGAAACAAATTACTCCATCCGTCCTGAAATAGATTACAATATTCCCTCACATTTTTGTCCCAAAAAGGATTACAAAGTCAATAACTTTATAGTGATTTTACTCTTTTACCCTCCCTTTTCTTTTTTTGCCAGCCACTATTCACACTATTTGGGGGAATTTGGGGGAAAAAATTGATTTGACTCTTCCTTAATTTCAACTAAAATGGAATATTGTAATCTAAAGTGGGACGGAGGGAGTATTCTTTTTTTGCAGAGCTTATAATCTCATGAGAAGACCTAAAGAATTTATGTCTAATTGAGATTGAAAAGTTGCTTAATTGAAATGGACGACCTTTAAAGGAATTCAAGTGCATGCCATTTGGAGATAACAATCAACTTAATAGATATCAAAATAATTTTTTGATAGAGAAGTTGAACTATGACTAAGAAAAGTTGTCATTTGATTTTAGAGGATATTTATCTACGATGAAGGAAGATCAGTGGAATATATCCAATGAAATAATGGAGGTCGTGATAGCTGAAAGAGGGAGTTCTTTTTTGTGCATGGTTACGGTGGAACTCGAAAAATATTTCTCTAGAAGTCATTGTCTGCTTCTCTAAGGTCAAATGGTAAGTTTGTCCAGAATGTCGCATCCAACTACATTGTAACATTGCTTTTGCTTAGGGGAAGGAGAGTCGAGATTTTTAATCCCTTTGGTGCTAATCGAGTGTTCATTATGTGACAACAAACAATGGAGTCCGAAAGCAGACCTAATCCAACAAGCAAGCTAAGTATAATCATATGAGATTTATCATCTACGATGCATATATTTTCTTTTGAGACATTGGATTGCACAATGGGAGATGTAATGAGGTTCTCCAATAATAAATTCATAAATGAACCATTCACAGGGAAAACATTTGTACTCAAAGAAGATTTATCTAAATTCTTTCAGTTTTACACATAGCTTTGAGAGAGGAAATTATAGGTGCTACCACTAATTCCTCACAAATGTAGTTGTATTGTAAAATTTATACGTTGAGCAAAAATATGAGATTGCATTAATCTACACTCTCTTGCACAGACAAGAACAGATAAGGTTTTTCTGATTGGATAATCAAAGACAAAGATGGAAAACTTAGACAAGTGATCGATGGAACTGCTGACATTGAAATTAAATCCTTCTGAATTCTTGATTCTTGAAATAAGTTATCCCCTCAACAGTTATAGTGGACTTTACTTATCCGAACCTATTAGAGAACATGAATTTTTTTTAGGATAGTGCACTATTAACACCTGCACTCAAGTTTGTTGAAGACGATTGGAAAACACTTCAGTTTTTTTTAATTAAATCAAATGTTCAGGGATTCTAAACCACAAAAAAGTTTTTAAAAAGGGGGTACTCACTACTATGTCATTGAAGAACATCGACTAAATATCTGGATTGTGTAATGATAGAAGATTAATCGTTTAGAAGTTGAGAAAGAACACTATCACTGCAATTGAGGTTTCAGGAAATCAATTGAGAAAAATATTTACATACCTCAAATGAATTTGGTACCATCTGATTCAGGACTACCTAAGAAAATCTAGAGAAAATAATTCTCAATAGTTTTATATTTTACTATGACTATTAACAAAAGTTAAGGTCAAACATTGTCTTTTGTTGTATTATTTTTAACCAATTTAATATTTAGTCATAGTTAGCTTTATGTTACTTTTTCACGAATGAAGGCAAAGACATGACTAAAAATATTGGTTCTACATAACAATGGAAACCTTTACAACCATACCAAAATCGTTGTGCACCCTAAACTCTTTCAAAAATTTGGAATTAAATAAGGTTTTTTTGAGTACACACACACACACATATAAATAAATAATGACTAAAAGTGCTACATTGGGAAATAATGACCAATGTAGCACTTTTGTCATTATCCATTAGTCATTATTTAGACCAATGTTCATCGTCACAGGATATTATTTCTCTTTCTAGACATTATTAAGTGTTATTTAAGGGATAAAAAGTTTAAGTCTTATTTTGGAAAATGACTTTTGTCTTAGTGTTATTTATTGCAGATATGAAAAATAAAAAATTTGAAAAATTATATTGGGAAAAAGTTTGAAAAATGAAAAATTTGAAAAATGAAAAACGAAAAATGGAAAATTTGAAAAATGAAAAATTTGAAAAAGTTTAAGTCTTATATTGGGAAATGACTTTTGTTTGAAAATATGAAAATTATTCTTTTATGAGGATAAAGCACTATTGGCACCAACTCTCGAAGTAGTTGAAATGATAAATGAATTTGTTCTGTCCCTCATTCCTGGTGATGAAAAGGAGTACTTGAGTTCTGATTCTTCGTGCCAAGGAGAAGCAGATGTAGGTGTTGATGACGATTGGATAACAGTTGAGTTTTTGAACGAAATCAAATGTTTGGGAATCCCAAACCACAAAATAGTCTTGAAAAAAAGGGTACCGATTATGATATTGAGGAACATTGACCAAACATCTGGATTATGTAATGGGACAAGATTAATCGTTCAAGAGCTACGAAATAATGTTATCGGTGCAATTGTGGTTTTGGGAAATCGAGTCGGGGAAAGTTTACATCCCTAGAATGAATTTGGGACCATCTGATCTAGGTCTACCCTTGAAGTTCCAAAGAAGACAATTCTCGATCGCCTCATGTTTTGCTATAAAAATCAACAAAAGTCAAGGTCGAACATTGTCATTTGTGGGGTTATTTTTATCCAAGTCAGTGTTCACACATGGTCAACTATATTTTGTTGTTTTACGAGTGAAGACAAAGACCGGATTAAAAGTATTAGTTCTAGATGACAATAGAAACTCTTGCAATCATACCAAAAATGTTGTATACCCTGAAATCTTTCAGAAAATTTGGTATTAAAATAAACATTGTTAACTCTACATTATGTTCCTCAAATATTATTTATTTTACTTTGGCTTTTTTCATTTGTAGTATTAAAAATCATGTGAGCAATATATTTACTTTATTCTGAAAAATAATATTCATTAAAATAAATTCAGATTCGACATAAATTTTTTTCAACCCCGTGCATGGCACGGGTCAAAATACTAGTTCTACAATAGACACACATTTTTTTCTAAAATTCTATTTTTAGAACTTCATCATCTTTATCCCTTCTTGGATTGAAAGTGTACGTTCTTACCAACTAAATAAAATGTACGGTGTATTTAGCAACAAAATGAGTATTGTGAAATCTTTAAATGT